GGTGGCGCTGTGGGTAAAACCTCAGCGCCTAGGACTTGCCGATCGCATGGTCGGCGGTTCGAATCCCCGCGGCGGGGTGCGCTCCCGTCGTTCGGTCCCAGCGCCTGCCAACCTAGCAGTTCGAAAGCACCTCCGGGTGCAAGTAGATAAATAGGGACCGCTTACTAGTGGGAAGGTAAACGGCGTTTCCGTGTGCTGCGCTGGCTCGCCAGATGCAGCTTGTCACGCTGGCCACGTGACCCGGAAGTGTCTGCGGACAGCGCTGGCTCCCGGCCTCTTGAGTGAGATGAGCGCACAACCCTAGAGTCTGGCAAGACTGGCCCGTACGGGGAGGGGTACCTACCTATCCTGTGTCACGTTATGGCTTCAGTTGGGAGATGCTATCCTGCACTGTTCATGGGCTGGAAGCAGAGTGCAGGAAACGGAAGACCACAGACACAGTGGTTGTAAGAAGTTGCAAAGTACCATGCAGGTAAGACCTCAACCTACCACCTCAATTTGTTTACAGTGTCTTGGGACCATAAAGTCCTGTTGGCAACCCATAACTCAGAGCAGGGGTTGCCAACATGGTGCCCGTGGGTGTACCTGCACCTACAGAGGCATTCACTGTCACTCACCTTGCCTCTTCTAGTTAAATCAGACTTGAAAGAAGCATTCTGCTGTAGCCAGTAGGTTGTGGTGTGTGAGAGACTGCATGTGTGTTGTGTCCACAAATGCGCCTCTGGCCCCAAAAGTTTGGCACCCCGAGAGCAAAAGCAAGAACTGTTGTTTTGCTCCTCTGAAAGTTGCCATATATTTGCATCTGTAAACAAGCACAAGCAAATTTTATGCAAAGTTGTGTCATGGACTGTGCCTTGAGTCTTCTAAATACTTAGCATGCAGCTGCAGTCTGCAGAACGAGACCTCCTTTGTTAAACTTCCCAAGTCTAACAGGTATCATAGCCTAACCGGGATTTTTGTTGAGGTTAATAGGATTTGTCATGGGATTTTAAGTGAAATTCTGTGCTCAGTTACACTCATGTAAACTAAAACTAATTCCATGGGATTATATTGGGCTTATTTCAGTGTGCAGCCCTGAGCTCTCTCACACATACTAGCACCACTGCAGCTCTCCTTGCTTTTGACAAAGTGGCAGCTTCTCTCTGGCTTGATGCCCAAATTTCACAAAATGGCTCTGGTGGAATACAAGTGATTTAATCAGTCCTTTGCATACTTTAACAAACGTACTCTCTGCCCCAATCGTGGTCTAGCAATAGTCTACATACCATGCTATTTTTTAAACAGTTCACTGCAGAGATTATTTTAAACACGCTCTAATCCATTCTGTATTCTCCTCTCATTGTGCACAGAGATTTATGGATGTAACTTCCTGCACATCTGGATTATGACAGACCTCACAGGTGTTCCCCGCACCCACCCCTTACAACAAAAACACCAATGCCTTCTACAATTTCTGCCCCTGGAAAGTGCTGTGCTCTTAAAACAGAGAAATAGTGTAGAATTAGGGAAGGCAGCAAGGATGGAGAGGATCTAACAAATATGAACAAGTGTTTCCTTTGATGCAAGAGGAATCCTGCATGTACTGAAAAGGATCATGTTAGTGTGTGTGTGGCCTCCAGAATGACAGTATTTTGCAGGAGGGACCAAAGCACGTGCCTGATATTTAGGCTTGCAGAGTTGAAATGGATTTAAGTGCTCTGTTGCCCTGGCACATCAAAACCATTTTTCTTTTTAAAAAGGGGACTTTTGCAGTTTGGAAAGTGACAGGAAAATACATTCAAAAGTGTAGGATGAACAAATGGGAAGCTGTGTAAACTGCTCCCAAGCAGATCAGGATGAAGGCTAATTGTCATATAACTACCCCATGAGCAAATGAGAATTAATGATCACTGAAGACAGGACACAACACCATGTAAGCTTTTTGCAAGCAAACCAAATAAACAGGAGGAACCCAGAGAGAAGAAACACAAGTAGTGAAGACAAATGCCACAATCCTACAGTTATGTGCCTGATGCTTCCTTATTCCCTTTATTCCAAACAATTCTGTAGTATGACACCAGAGAAAGTTGCATTACAGGTTTCTCCTGTAACTATGTTTTTAGGAGAAACAGAATGGCACAAGGAAATGCCTCAGTGCTTATTCTACACTTGCAGTACAATTCTAGGCACGTCTTCTCAGAAGTCCCATTTAATCCAATGGGCTGTACTCCAAGTAAGTGTGTCTAGGATTGCAGTCTTCAATATGCATCTGCTGGATTGTGTCCAAATGCTCCATATAAATGAATCCCCCATATGATTCAATGTGCAGATGAAGATCCTCTCACTCATCTCTGTGCAAACTTCTCAGCTTGATTCTACGTAGGGGTGTAAGTTTTCAAATTTCCCTAAAATTGACTGAGCTCTGATTTAGCAGGTGTTGGTGACACGCCAGTGGCGTAGCGTGGGGGGTCCAGGGGGGCCGGCCGCACCGGGCGCAACATCTGGGGGTTAGGGTTAGGGGGCGCAAATCCACGGGTTAGGGGGCGCAAATTACTTGCCTTGCCCCGGGTGCTGACAACCCACGCTACGCCACTGTGACACGCAATTTCGTTTTTAATTTACCTCCTTATTTATATCCACCCTCCTTTAAAAAAAAAAAAAAGCGGGGGAGCAATCCTATGCACAAGAAGCCGGTGTTAAGTTTAGCCACCATAAAGCCACACCAGATCATAAACCCCGTTCTGCATCTGAGCTACTGCTGCTGCTCTGCCTGAGCCTGACAGAGGGAAAACAAGCCTTAAATAATGTTCTAATGCAGGTTTGCCAGGTTGCATGACTGAGCTGGGTTTAGGATCCAGACTAAGTTCTCTCTCTCTGGTCCTGCCCTCACCACATTCCTGGAACACCCCTTTTTGGTAATTTACACTGGCCAGCTTTGGCTCAGCCAGGATGTGCAAGTTACAATGGCATCTCTTTGGCTAAGCCAGGGTTGGGAACTTAATGCCAACCAAGACAGAGATCTCCTGTATCCTAAGGTGCTCAGCCCAGTCAATTTTACCACAGGATCGCACCCCCCCTCCTGTTATGAGATTGAAAACACTGTAATCTGTAAGTTTCCTGGAGGTTGTCGCTTGCAAACACTTAATTACAACTGCCACCAGTTAATTGTATGAAAACAACCTGTTTTTTGTTTTTTTTAAGAGAAATGGATAGTTTAGCAAAGGAAAATAAGAATAGTGATTCCCCACCCACCTCATATTGCCCTTTTGTGTTTGATCTTAATGTCTTAATGTTCTTTTTAATTTATGCCTACCCTGCTGTTTTAAAGTCATCCAGTTTGATGACATCTTGTTGTGCTGAGTTCCAGAGATAAACAATGTGCTGTGTGAAGATGTACTTTCTTTTGTCTTTCCTGACAACATTCAGCTTCAGTAACTGATAAATTACTCAACGGAAAGATGGGGGTGGTGGTGAGAACCCCTATCTGAGGTCAAAAAGTGAAGGGGGGAGGGGAGAACTATTGTTTGACATGTTTTTATCAGGCATTATGCAACATCCAGAAAACTAGGTTTTGATATCTTGGGTTCATATTACTCAGTTTATAGCCAGAGGAGCGGCTTGAAGGAGCTCTGGGTCAGCTTTTAAGAAGTGCTTAAGACTTCCTGTGCAAATAAACACAAATGCAAGAGACCTACCTTGGTGTAAGTCTGCCCTCTGCAGTTTTGAATAGGAATACTACGCTTACTTTAACTACATGGACAAGCAATCCTCCTTTTTTGTGATCTGAGAACATTAAAAAAAAAAACCCTTCTAAGACGTTAAAATAGTGGACTGTAATGTAGAATCTAGTATGTGTGCTTTTAGCCAGATGAAAGGCAGAATGGGCTGTTACATACTAGAAGAACCAAAGTACAGTGGTACCTCAGGTTAAGAATTTAATTCGTTCTGGAGGTCCCTTCTTGACCTGAAACTGTTCTTAACCTGAGGTACCACTTTAGCTAATGAGGCCTCCCACTGCCGCTGTGTGATTTCTGTTCTCATCCTGAAGCAAAGTTCCTAACCCGAGGTACTATTTCTGGATTAGTGGAGTCTGTAACCTGAAGCGTCTGTAACCCGAGGTACCACTGTAGACATAACAGGGGAAATTTTTACTTCTGAAGGAGGGGTGCAGAACTTTTTTGCCCCACTGAGACAGCTTTTTACCCCCCCTCCCGCAAGCAGGTGTAGATGTGACCTTTATAAGCTCCTCAGAGCAAACACCCATCCTCTTGTACTCTGTAAAAGTACCAGACTCGCAGATGGCATTAAAATTATAAAAACACTCTAAGGTTCCCATTTTGAATAGGACTTTCTTATACATTTTCCGTATGTTGGAAACTCCCCTGTGATCCTCAGGTGAAAGGTGGTATAGAAATTTAATAAATAAAAATAATAAATAAAAGTCAGGAGTGGACACAGACCAACATTGCTAGCAATGTGTTAGATCAATTTCTAAGTGTGACCAGGGTCTCTTAGTATGAATGTTAATTTGAAGCATCCAGCAAACCAACTTGTACAGGTCAAAGCCGGGTTGACCAAAAGCTAGTGTGCGCTGGGAAAAACATGGAAAAGGATGATGATATTTTTGTGAATCATACTGGGGCTAGTTCATATACCTGGCCTGCTGGCAGTTGGATGCTCTTACCCCTGAATAGTCGCTGGAAGGTTTTGCAATCCCATTCATGGAGTTTTTTCATGGCAAACAGTTCAGGTATCTCATTCGCCATGAGCAAAGGGTTCATGTAAATAAGCCCCCCTTTCAGCAACTCTGAGGGGGGAAAGAATCCTATTTGGCTTCAAACGTGGCATTGTTGAAGCCCTCCCTTCAGACTGCCTATGTAGGTCAACTGCTTTCCCAACAGATGGCTCAGAACCAAATAATCAACTCTGTCCATGCCCACTTAGCCCCTAAATCCTGCAGGTTTCAGAGACCTGAGCTGCCAACATTATCGAGAGAATGAAAACTACAGGACTGCAGGGGATAATACTGTGCTTTGCATTTATAGCGTGTGTTTTAATTTAAAAAAACAAACACAACATCAAGTACAACTTCCATTATCAGATAGTAATACAGGTAGGAAAGAATAATACGTCAGTGACCCACACAGAGCGTGTAACAGAAGATCAACCAGGTAAGTCAAATGAAAAGCATATAATATCCTACTCTGAATACCACCCCTCCCAGATTCAGTTCTCAAAGTGCATTAGCTTTGCTTTCTTTTATGTTCTTGCTCATTTGTTATGACACTCAACATTTTTGTATTCTTACGAAGGGTTTCAGCTAATGGTTCTAATGAAGGAACCAATAACAAAGGGAAAAGGGGACACCCCTGTTCAGTTCCCCTATGTATTTTCAAACACATCGGTTGACGTGGACTCTTGTCATTATTAAACAATACAGAGCTCCGATTACCTGTGTAGAATATTTACCAAAATTTATTCTTTACAAGACACAAAATGAAAAGGACCAATGAAGATGATCAAACACTTTATGGGCACCTAAATACATCATACTTAATGTCTTGTGCTCTGTAAAATGTGTAATATTTAAAATCTTTCAGATATAGTCTGCAGCATTTTAAATTGCCAGTTACTGTTTCTATTTCATCTACAATCCATATTTGGATCAGATTCTTTTTTTTAATCCCCTCCCACCCCCCAAGTTGAAGTCTTGTTTAAGAAGTCAAATTGCTGTACTTGTTTGTAACACACTGATGCACAGGTCAACAGTGTATATAGCACCTTTTAGGCTTTTGAAGTTCTTCAAGCACAATAGTTCAGTAATTCCAACAGTCACCTGATAAGACTGGTCTGTGCTGTTCTCCACATACTGCAGATGGTGTGCGTGTAGGACCAGTGCTTTGTCTAAGGTCACCTAGTGAATTTGTATCTGAGGAACCTCCTAGCTTACACTGCACAGAACTAGCTCTTAAAGATGATAGAATCTAGTGGTGTTTGCTGTGTCAACCACTGTCCAAGTCAGGGATGCCCTCTAGATGTTGTTGGACTACAACTCCCAACTTTCCTGACTGTGGGCTAGGCTGATGGGAGTTGGGAGTCCAACATTTGGACTCCTCATTCCTGGTCTAAAACACCTTAGGTCCAGCCAGCTATATCTGGCTAGGATCAGTCACACCAAACCCTGCCTCCCATCAGTAACCAATATTTATAGTCACTCCCAACTCCATCTCTCAATGATGATGATGATGATGATGATGATGATGATAATAATCAGTATTTATATAGTGCTGTTTACTAATTATTCAGTGGGTTTCACATTCCTTATTTCATAAATACAAAACTATGCATGTATTTAACATTTCAGGCATGTGTTAGCTATCAAGACACCATGGGGGCCAAAAAGAACAAATACAACAGACAATTAATATATGAAATTTAACCAACTTATTCAGATATGCCAAGAATACAACTTTTAATAACTCTAGCATTACAGAGAAATTAGATGGAACGATTTCTGCCTTGTGGACTTTTAGACTCCATATTTTGGTTTAAAAGAAAGTATATCCAAGTTATTTATACTCTGATTCTAAACAGATTACATGGTCTAAAAGAAATTCCTTGCATAGGATGATGTGTTTTGAGATCATATGAGCAACAATTTCCCCCCCAAATGTGCTATTGTTTCCCACATTCTGAGTACTACTCACTTGCTACAATTGTTTACGCTTCAATGCGCTTTTAAACTTTCAGTGCTACAGAAAAAACTCCTGGAATAGTGCTACACGTGTTGGTTGAGAAAATAATTCAGGATCAGCTAAATCATACAACTCAAAATCATACAACCCTGCTAAGTCATCCTCTGAGCAGATCCACTGAAATCAAGGGAATTCAGTTATGCAAGTCCAGTTCATTTCAATATGTCCACTCTGGGTCTGACTAACACTGGGCATCACCCATCGGCTCAATTCTTTTTTTAAGATGGAAATGGGGATGCAAGAGTTCTGAACCACTTTGATTATAGTTGGTATTCTAATACAAAGATTAAAACATAAAATGTGGGTGCATTGACAGTCTCAAGACAACTGAAATAGACATCTAACAACAGTTTTCTGATAACTTAAAACTTGCAGAGTGCCAGTGAAGGTGGAATAACCCTACACCTAATAGGACGTTTACCCTTGTCCCCCGCAAAGAAATACATTGATTTTGAATATCTTTGCAAAAAAATTGTTTAGGCTCCGTCGCAATATCATTTACACGAACAGCTTTGAGTGGCTCAATCCAATGCATTCTACTCAGAAGTAAGTCCTACTGAATTCAGTGGGACTTTGTTCCAAGTGAGTGTGCATAGGATTGCAGACTTAAGGGAGCAGAAAGAGCTCCACCCTAGCTCAACTCTAGTTATGTTTACTTAGAAGCAAGTACCACCATGTCCAGTGGGGCTGATTCCTGGGATGACGTGCATGAAGACTGCAGCCTAAGAACCTGGCTCACAACTAGAAATGAGCTTATTAAAATGCTGGAGCTGTCGTGTCATTTTTCTTCCCATTGCTGGACTGTCCAAGCTATTTGCTCTTGCTCTGAAAGCAAGCTTCAGCATCTTGCTAAAACAACTCCGAAATGATATTAATTTGAAGATTGGCTCCCTACATACACATCTGCAGGTAAAAAGCCAAAGCCAAAATATCCCACATGCATATTCAAAAAGTGTTCTAACCCAGGTATTAGCTTAGACAGATTTCTCTTTCTTTTCAGGTGTATCTCTCGCTTCTACATTTGTGGGAAGCCTTCTAGGACCCAGACCTTGCTTCCTTTCAGCTTCATTTCCTGCTACACTGGAAGTACTCAACAGTTCTGCCAGCCTGGTCCTCTAGGCCGAGGAAGGTCTCCAGCTTACTATGCCCCCCCAGTTCCATTAGTTCACAAGGGAATTGCAGACAAGGCAAAGTCCAGAGTTTGTATTTGGATTATCAAGATCTAAGTGTACACACTCAATTCATCACTCGTGATGCCGAGCAATGAACAGATGGTCTTCATACAGAAATGAGCATGTGGATGACAAAGACAACTTCATTCGACGTGCTTGCTGCAAACCCAGCGGAGCTGTCGATCCACAGTGAGGTCTGTTAATTCATCTATTGATTTCCAAGTGCACTGACAAGCGTAGGCCCTCGATCCTTTCTTGGTTTGCATCTTCGTCCTCAACTTGCGGAATTCAGGCATGTTATTCCTACCAATCAAAAATATTCAATTTCAACAGCGTTCTTGTTTTATTATGCTTTTACGTTTGTTGGAAGCCGCCTGGATTGGCTGGGGCAACCCAGTCAGATGGATGGGATGATGATGATAATAATAATAATAATAATAATAATAATGATGATGATGATGCAACAATAACTCCCTCAGAACCACACAGCCAATCATTGCCCAGTTAGCCACAGAGTGGAACAAAGACAAAGACACTCTACCCTTGTCACTGAAATGAAAGCCTTTGGGTCTTTCTGCTATAGGCTTCCCCCCAAACTATGTACTGAAATATCCACACCTGCAATTCTGTAAAGTTGATATCCGAACATGTACAGACCACAGCATTTATATGATACCCCACTACCATATAGGTCACATCTAATATTCCTATCAATATTACCCGCAAGGCATACCTGAAAAAGAGGTAATCACATGACTGATCCCACTGAAAGTCATCGTATTGCAAAACACGGAAGTCACATGCAGTACACCGCAGCTGATCACAGGTTCTGCCCAAAAAAGATTACAAACATTATAGATTTAAACACATGGAACAGTTCAATCAACTAATTTGATTAGTTGATTGAACTGATTAATTTGACCTGAAGGTGCTGCTGTGCAATGCCAGGTCAATGATTCATAAGACCACTGCCATCCATGACGTGATCATGGATGGAGGACTTGACCTGGCATGTGTAACAGAGACTGGGTTGGATGAAGCAGATGGGCCTGTCCTTGCCGCTGCTTGTCCACCAGGTTTCTCTTACGCACAGCAACCCAGGTCATGTGGGCGGGGAGGGGGGGTTGCAGTGATTTTTAGGAAGTCATTAGTCTGCACCAGGCGTCCTATTGGGAAGACCCAGATTTCTGAGTGCATGTTCTGGAAGTTGGGCAATAGGGGCAGTACAGGATTCCTTTTGGTGTACCGACCTCCCCGCTGCACCAAGGATTCCCTGTCCGAGCTGCTTCAGGTCGTGGCGGATGTTCTCCTGGAGACACCTAGCTTGGTCGTCCTAGGGGATTTTAACATCCATGCCGACACGACCTTACAAGGGGCCGCTCAGGACTTCGTGGAAAGCATGGCCTCCATGGGGCTGTCCCTGAATAAGTCTGGCCCAACCCATAGCCGTGGACATGCCTTGGACCTGGTGTTTACCTCTATGGATGTTGGTGATCTGACACTGAGTAAAAGCGAAATGAAAGAAGTGCCATGGTCAGATCACTTCCTGGTGCAACTGGACTTCTCTGCGACCCATCCCCTCTGCAGGGAGGTGGGACCAATTCGGATGGTCCGCCCCCGCCACTTAATGGATCCAAATGGTTTCCAGAGAGTGGTAGGGGATGCTTTATCCCATGTTGATGGCCTTTCAGCCGATTCCCTGGTGGCACACTGGAATGTGGAGTTAACCAGGGCTATTGACTGTTTGGCTCCGAAGCGCCCTCTCCGATTGCATGGAGCCCGGACAGCCCCGTGGTTTTCCACGGATCTGAGGGCAATGAAACAATCGTTGAGACGGCTAGAGCACCGGTGGCGGATAACTCATTCCGAATCTGACCGGACACAGGTTAGAGCTCAACGTCGAGCCTACCAAGTGGCGATAGCGACGGCGAAGAAGAATTTCTTCACCGCCTCTATTGCATCTGCAGAAAACAGCAGCAGGAGACTTTTTCAGGTGGTTCACAATTTAGCGGAACCACCTGCAACATCGGGGCCCAGTATGGGCCACATGTTCTCCTGCAATGATTTTGCAAAGTTTTTTGCAGATAAAATCGCTCAGATTCGGGAAGAAGTAGACTCCACCGTGGGAGCAGGGCCGGGGCGGGAGAGTGCTAGAGTTCTGTCTAGTCAAGTTGAGTGGGATCAATTCCAATCTGTTACTGCCGAGGATGTGGACAGGCTGCTTGGACGAGTGAAACCAACCACCTGTCTCCTGGATCCTTGCCCATCCTGGCTTATAAAAGCTAGCCGGGAAGGACTGGGCGATGGGCTTCGTGGGGTGGTGAATGCTTCCCTCCGTGAGGGAGCCTTCCCAGACCCGCTGAAAGAGGTGGTTATTAAACCGCTTCTTAAAAAACCATCTTTAGATGCGGCCACGATGGCCAATTATCGCCCAGTCTCAAATCTTCCATTCCTGGGCAAGGTGATTGAGCGAGCGGTTGCCGAACAACTCCAGGCACGCCTGGAAGAAGCGGACCATTTGGATCCCTTCCAGTCGGGATTCAGGCCTCATCATGGGACTGAAACTGCCTTGGTCGCACTGGTTGATGATCTCCGGCGGGCTAGGGACAAAGGTGAGAGCTGTTTCCTAGTTCTGCTGGATCTCTCAGCGGCGTTTGATACCATCGACCATAACATCCTTCTGGACCGTCTTGAGGGGCTGGGAGCTGGGGGCACTGTCATACAGTGGTTCCGCTCCTTCCTCCTGGGCCGTGTTCAGAAAGTGGTGGTGGGGGATGAGTGTTCAGACCCCTGGGCTCTCACTTGTGGGGTGCCTCAGGGTTCTGTCCTTTCCCCTATGCTTTTCAACATTTACATGCAGCCGCTGGGAGAGATCATCAGGAGGTTTGGGCTGGGTGTTCATCAGTATGCCGATGATACCCAGCTCTACCTCTCTTTTAAATCAGAACCAGTGAAGGCGGTGAAGGTCCTGCGTGAGTGTCTGGAGGCGGTTGGAGGATGGATGGCAGCTAACAGATTGAGGTTGAATCCTGACAAGACAGAAGTACTGTTTTTGGGGGACAGGAGGCGGGCAGGTGTGGAGGATTCCCTGGTCCTGAATGGGGTAACTGTGCCCCTGAAGGACCAGGTGCGCAGCCTGGGAGTCATTTTGGACTCACAGCTGTCCATGGAGGCACAGGTCAAATCTGTGTCCAGGGCAGCTGTTTACCAGCTCCATCTGGTACGTAGGCTGAGACCCTATCTGCCTGCGGACTGTCTCGCCAGAGTGGTGCATGCTCTGGTTATCTCCCGCTTGGACTACTGCAATGCACTCTACGTGGGGCTACCTTTGAAGGTGACTCGGAAACTACAACTAATCCAAAATGCGGCAGCTAGACTGGTGACTGTGGGCGGCCGCCGAGACCATATAACACCGGTCTTGAAAGACCTACATTGGCTCCCAGTACGTTTCCGAGCACAATTCAAAGTGTTGGTGCTGACCTTTAAAGCCCTAAATGGCGTCGGTCCAGTATACCTGAAGGAGCGTCTCCACCCCCATCATTCTGCCCGGACGCTGAGGTCCAGCGCCGAGGGCCTTCTGGCAGTTCCCTCATTGCGAGAAGCAAAGCTACAGGGAACCAGGCAGAGGGCCTTTTCGGTAGTGGCGCCCGCCCTGTGGAACGCCCTTCCAGCAGATGTCAAAGCGATAAACAACTACCTGACATTCAGAAGACATCTTAAGGCAGCCCTGTTCAGGGAAGTTTTTAACGTGTGATTTTATTGTATTTTTGGTTTTTATGGAAGCCGCCCAGAGTGGCTGGGGAGGCCCAGCCAGATGGGCGGGGTATAAATAATAAATTAAATTATTATTATTATTATTATTATTATTATTATTATTATTATTATTATTATTTATTTCTTAACTTATTAAACTTGTGCATATTATCCAATCTCATAATAGGTGCATTTCTTAAATATTGACAGAAGTGTGAAAAAACTCACAATTTAATAAACAGCTGTTAAAAGGAAAGGAATACTCTGTTTCACATTTCCTATCCTAACACACCAGAACTAGACTAACCTTTTAACAGAACGGTTACACTCTAAGCTTTCAGTGCCACTGTTTAAAATTAACCTCCACTAAATAAAATTGGTTCTTACCATTCAATAAGATAAAACCTCAGTTGATTAAAGGCTGCAGCTCTGGTATTTACTAATTCAATTTTCACCCTTTTTTCTATGTATGGGTAAAAGCTTGGGTGCTTCCATTTTACGGAAATAAGTTAGCCTAGGAAAAATCCTTATGGGAACTGAGCTTTATGGCACATCACAGCTGATCTCTCACCACTTCCCTCCTCGCAAGAGGATCATGTCTGTGAGACTATGTGAACATATATCCAAGATCCTCTGTGTTTCTGATTCATATGCTTCTTTAACATGGGTAAGCATGATCTGTACACACGAATGCTAGTGGTATACAGAAATCTAAACAAACATGGGCTGAATCCTGCATGCGCTGGGGGCTTTTCTCACCTGCCTTGCCACTGGCTGATGCAGCTGAATAGTGAACTCAGACTGACTCCTTGTGGCTACCAGACCACAGGCTGAGATAACTGTGTGCAGCAGCTTGGGTGGGGGTGGAGAGGGTCACAGATGGTGCAAAAGCTCCCAGGTTCAGTCCCAGCCATCTCCAAGAAGGACTGAGAAATGCCTCTGTCTGAAACGCCAGAGGGTTGCTGCCAGTCCGTGTAGACAATACTATGCCAGATGGACCAACAGTCTGATTCAGTATAAAGCAGCAGCTTACAGTATGTTCCTTCCTAATATAGCAGTAAGAGAAATATGAAGGTCGCATAATGCAATTGCCAGCATTTATTTATTTTTAAATGCCTACCTCTGAGAAATATTTGTTCCTATACCATGCGGCGCGCTGCTTCCACCAAGATATACAGGGCAACATCTACAAGAATTAAATTGGAAAGCCTTGAAATAGTTGTGAAGAAGAAGAAAAAACCCCACCCCAAACCATTTGCCTGCAAAGTTTGCATCATTTGATTTCTCAGGTGTCATTACGCTAGTGAGCATGTGTACCTTTTCAACAAACCTTTTGTTTGTAGAACTATAAGGCAGGACAATTCAGAAGAAATGACAATATTGTTATCTGCATGATATATGTATCTTGGGGGCAAAAAACCCAACTGTAAGAGAAATACTCCAGAACCTGAGGGTTTCTACAAAACTCAACAGGGGCTAGAAATCAAGCAAACATCATCATCAACATGGAGCATTAAGTTCTGAAAAGCTATTAAAATTCCCCTGCCCTCATTTCATGGCATATTCTATATGGTTAAAAGAAGAACTGATGCTACCATTTCTTCATAAACATCAACTGGTGCTCCCACATACTCACAAAACTGCCAGCATTAGGGAGACCAGAAGCTAAAGAGTAGAGCGTAGCTTGCCAAACACACATGCTGAAATTCCATCTTCCGCACAGCTATTAAAGATGTAGGAGCCCTGTTCTCTTTTGCATCTGGCTGCCCTAACCAGCAATAATGCAACAAGCAATAACATTCTGTCCACTGAAGACATAGGGTTTGATCCATTCTATGCTAGTTACACTTAGGTCCCATTGAAATCAAAGTGAAAAGTTAGCAATGATTCAAATGAATCTGCCCTTTCTTCCTTGCTGTCCAGCACAGTGGTACCTCAGGTTAAGAACTTAATTTGTTCCAGAGGTCCGTTCTTAACCTGAAACTGTTCTTAACCTGAGGTACCACTTTAGCTAATGGGGCCTCCCGCTGCCGCCGCGCTGCTGGAGCACGATTTCTGTTCTTATCCTGAAGCAAAGTTCTTAACCGGAGGTACTATTTCTGGGTTAGTGGAGTCTGTAACCTGAAGTGTCTGTAACCTGAAGCATCTGTAACCCAAAGTACCACTGCAGTTTGAAACTGCGTCCCAGGTAAGACTCTTCCTTCTAATCCACCCTCAAAATACACATACCCTATGTGGATCTTTTGGCAGAACTTTCTCATTCCCATGTTGAACATAGACAAATTTACTTCTGAGAAAACATACATAGTTAGCTTCTGACGAACAATGATATCCTAGAAATAGCTATATGGAAGTACCCTTGTGTTTGATGGGGCTTAGTCTCCGATAACCTGGCATCAGATTGCAGCCTAAACCTATGCCCATGTAAATGAAATAGCCATACCATTCTTCCAATTTGCCCCTGCCTTCCCTTCCACTGGTGTTTTGCTTATCCTGCACTTTAGATTGTACACTCTTTCAGGCAGTGGCCTACCCAATGGTGCTATGTAAATAACTCAAGTCCCATTGACTTCAATGAGAACTAACGGCAAAAAGTTAATCCCACTGAGTTCAATAGGACTTACTCTCAGGTAAGTGTGTACAGCCTTGCAGTCTTAGTGCAACTAAGTCACTCTTGATCCAACCCATGCATTCTTTTGTTTACTGACTGTCAATCGAGTTAAGTTGAAATTAGCTGTTTACTGTTCAAAGCATTTCTCACTCATGTAATTTTTACTTACCTCTTACCATGAGCTTGAATGGAGGTAGTTCTATTTTCAGATGCAGGGCTAGGTGACTTAGATTTATGTTTCTAATAAAGAGAGAGAGAGATGGGGACCTCTTAACACAAACCAGCAGCACGGTAAAGTTTTCCTGCTTTTATTTCCAAATAACAAGGACCAGAAGTCTACTCGAAGAGGAGGAAGACAGAGGGCAGAAAAACAGCAAACAACACGAGGGCTTCACAAATGGCTCCCATTTCCTCAGTCAGCTACAGTAAGGATACATGGGGAACCACACTGCTACATCAGTCAGGCAGCATTTTCCTTCCTCCAGTACCCATTCTCTTAATGTGAACTTTGGGTTCTGGCCTGGAGTAAATGGCTCTGGCTGATGCATAGGACTAGAAATTCTAATCTGATGTGACAACTGAAGCACAGTTAGCTTTATTCCAGATTAGGGAATCCAGAACACTTTTTCTCTGCTTCCTTGGCTTTGCTTCTACCCACAACCACCATGCAGCCCTGACTGATTACTCCTGAGGGAACCCCGTCCTTGACTGCGGGGGAAGGTTGTCTATCCTTACTCTAGACTTTCACCACTTTCCCTTTTCATCTGGCTTTCTTCTTCAAAGGTTCTGACTGACACTCCCCCCCCCGCAACTTTCCCTTTCCTCAGAGGTTGCTTTGTCTTGACCTACCACAAGATTTTTGGCATAGCTGTTTTCGTCGATGATATCTTTAATTATGTCATCTATGTCTTCTTCTTCACTAGCACCTTTTGTCAATACTTTGGAAAATCTGGAAAGAAATGGAAGAGGAGCATCCCTTGGTAAGTTTATTTAGAAGACACTGGCCAGTATGGGGATAGCTGCTTCAGACACTTAAAACCCCAGGGGCAATTGTCACACGTGAAAACGACATGTTTTGTCTCCAAGTATCCGCAGTGTGAACTATTTAAAATTTTGAACTATTTAAAATTTTAAAAGATGATGCTGTTAAGGTGCTACACTCAATATGCCAGCAAATTTGGAAAACTCAGCAGTGGCCAGAAGATTGGAGAAGATCAGTCTACATCCCAGTCCCAAAGAAGGGTAGTGCCAAAGAATGCTCCAACTACCGCACAATTGCACTCATTTCACACGCTAGCAAGGTTATGCTTAAAATTCTACAAGGAAGGCTTAAGCAGTATGTGGATCGAGAACTCCCAGAAGTGCAAGCTGGATTTAGAAGAGGCAGAGGAACCAGAGACCAAATTGCAAACATGCGCTGGATTATGGAGAAAGCTAGAGAGTTCCAGAAAGACATCTACTTCTGCTTCATTGACTATGCAAAAGCCTTTGACTGTGTCGACCACAGCAAACTGGCAAGTTCTTAAAGAAATGGGAGTGCCTGATCACCTCATCTGTCTCCTGAGAAATCTCTATGTGGGACAAGAAGCTACAGTTAGAACTGGATATGGAACAACTGATTGGTTCAAAATTGGGAAAGGAGTACGACAAGGCTGTATTTTGTCTCCCTGCTTATTTAATTTATATGCAGAATACATCATGCGAAAGGCTGGGCTGGATGAATCCCAAGCTGGAATTAAGATTGCCGGAAGAAATATCAACAACCTCAGATATGCAGATGACACAACCTTGATGGCAGAAAGTGAGGAGGAATTAAAGAACCTTTTAATGAGGGTGAAAGAGGAGAGCGCAAAATATGGTCTGAAGCTCAACATAAAAAAAACGAAGATCATGGCCACTGGTCCCATCACCTCCTGGCAAATAGAAGGGGAAGAAATGGAGGCAGTGAGAGATTTTACTTTCTTGGGCTCCATGATCACTGCAGATGGTGACAGCAGCCACGAAATTAAAAGACGCCTCCTTCTTGGGAGAAGGGCAATGACAGGCCTAGACAGCATCTTGAGAAGTAGAGACGTCACCTTGCCAACAAAGGTCCGTATAGTTAAAGCCATGGTTTTCCCAGTAGTGATGTATGGAAGTGAGAGCTGGACCATCAAGAAGGCTGATCGCCGAAGAATTGATGCTTTTGAATTATGGTGCTGGAGAAGACTCTTGAGAGTCCCATGGACTGCAAGAAGATCAAACGCATCCATTCTTAAGGAAATCAGCCCTGAGTGCTCACTGGAAGGACAGATCGTGAAGCTGAGGCTCCAGTACTTTGGCCACCTCATGAGAAGAGAAGACTCCCTGGAGAAGACACTGATGCTGGGAAAGATGGAGGGCACAAGGAGAAGGGGGCGACAGAGGACGAGATGGTTGGATAGTGTTTTCGAGGTTACCAGCATGAGTCTGACCAAACTGCGGGAAGTAGTGGAGGACAGAGGTGCCTGGCGTGCTCTGGTCCATGGGGTCACGAAGAGTCGGACACGACTAAACGACTAAACAACAACATCCGCAGTGTGCACAGTGGCCAAACACAGTTTCCCACAAAGGTGAGAGGAAGCAATGATTGTTCATCCATGATACTTGCTGCTTATGCTTAGAAAGCTGAGGTAATTTTAAGCTGTTTTAGTATTTTAACTTTTGCATGTTTTAAAGCAGGGTTGTGATTTTTTAAATATTTTATTTTACTGTTTTATCTTCTGTAAACCGCTTTGTTAGTTTGTTTGAGGTGCCTAAGTTTTATGAAATAAAATAAATAAATGCACAGACTGTGGCCTGCAACTGTGGCTTGAGATGCATCTTCCCTGGGTTTGACATAATTCAGTGGAGCAGTTGGTGGAAGGGGAAGAGGGGTAGACTGTCTGGGAGATAAGCCAGAGGGGGTGTTGGAGAATGTTAAAAAGATGCAGAGATGGGGATAGTCTGAAGGACTTGGGAAACGCTGGTGTGTTCATGCAAGCTAAGAATCTGGCAGCAGTAACAGCTGGGTGGTCGCGCGTCACGTCGCCTGGAAACGAGGGAGGGAGTAGAACGGAGAGACTAAGCGGCACCCACAGAGGAAGAGTCGCGCACAACCCTCAGTTCTGGTTTCCGCTCGAACACGCTCCTGTGCGGGCCAGGAGTATCATCATGCACAAGAAAGAAGGCAAGGGAAAGGCATGTTCCGCCAAAGCACTGGTGTCCTTGCTGTACAGTATTGTCTTCTTTTTCTCTGCATGGGTTGCCCAAAGGCTGGGTGGGTGGAAGGTGGGAAAAGCATGAGATGCGCAAACGGATGCATGCTTGCTCGGAAGAATCACCTAATTCAATTGGGCTACTTTCGTAGTAACTTCGCTTAGGGTTTGGTGAGTGCAACCTAAACACGCTTAGAAAATGAGGGATTTTTTGTTTCGTTTTTAAAGGCTTCGGAGCTTTCTGAAGTTTGCACTACACGCTAACAGGGAACCGGAAGTGGCGTTAATACTTCTCTTTGAAACTGCGCTCCCCTTTAGGGGCACCTCGGAGGGGCGGGGGGGGAGGAAGGCGCGAGCATGCGCAGTGCTCACCTGGCCCTCTCCCCCGCCGCGGCGGCCTCGGCTTCGGCCTCTTCTTCCTCCTCGCGGAAGCGGTTCCTTTTCCGCCCTTGGCCTGGCCGGCCTCGCTCCGAACAGTCTCGCCTCGAGAGGCGGCAGAACTTGTTCTCTACCTCGTCCAGCAGCTCATCTAGGTCGTCCGCCATCTTAGCCTCTCCTCACGTCTCTCACCCCCCTTCCCCTCGTTGCCATGGTAGCAGCGGGGGGTGGGAGAAGGGCGATGGCAGGCGCGCCCCGCCCCCTCCGCCCCCACGTCTAAGCCGCCGTGGAGAATGGTTAAATAAATAAACAAGCCCCATTCCTTAAAGTCTGGGATTGAAAGTTAAAAGCAGAACGTCACATTCACGAAGCGCGTAAACAAATAAAATTTATTTTTTTTTCGTCTCGCACGTAGTCGGCAGGATTCGAACCTGCGCGGGGAGACCCCAATGGATTTCTAGTCCATCGCCTTAACCACTCGGCCACGACTACAGAACATACGTGTTGCCTTTTGCACAACAACTGAGCTCACTTTGGAATGCAGCGTCTGCCTGTGCAATGTCTCCTGTTAGGCTGCTTCGCCGCCACAACCGCCTAAAATGATTTAACAAGATTAAGCACAGTTAAAATCATAGCTGTCAACTTTTCCCTTTTCTTGCGAGGAATCCTGTTCGGAATAAGGGAATTCCCCTTAAAAAAAGGGAAACGTTGACAGCTATGGTTAAAATATTATTATAAACCTTTTGGAAGACATCTATAAGGATGTACCGTGCAACAGAGAGCACTGGGATTTGGCTTTCCAACAAGGGCAGTTATAAATTTATTCCCAAAATAGCTTTACAAGAAGCATTTTTTTTAAAAATTGCTCTTTTGAATTGATACTTGTTTTGTTTTACGACAAGCACACCCCCCCTTTTTTATTCTGCACCAAATCGCAGTTGTTCTCCCTGCTGTCAGCTTCCTACATTTTCTTTCTCTTGTTTGGACCACAGAGCATCCTCTAATGCTTACTCGGAAGTAAGCCTCATTGTACTCCATGGAACTTACTTTCCAAGGCTGCAGCCCTATGCAACCTTACCTGGGACTAAGCCCCACTGATGCCTGTGGGACGTGTGTAGACAGGTGTGTAAGATTGCAAGGGTGCATAGAATTTTCTCCTGGAAGTTACTATAGGACTAAGATGGCTATAATATGTATGCCTTTCAAACCCAGGTTCGATGCGAATCCATCTTTATTTGTAGCAATCAATTTTGGGGTACAACTATTTGCAAACGCCACTTAGATGATATTAGAGACTTGGAGTCTGACAACATCTGGAAGGCCACAGCTTTTTAATCCCTGCGCATTTGCAACTGCACATTTGTGTGATGTCTTCTTTTAGAAGAAGACCACTCATTTTTTAATACAAAATAAAACAATGTGGCTGAGCGGTTGTGGGTTCAAAGTGGCCTCCTCTGCTCTTTCTCATTCCTGCATGGCAGGGGGTTGGACTAGATGACCCTTAGGGTCCTTCCAGCTCTACAATTCTACAATTTTATGATTCTATGAAATATACTAAGGCAAGCAACAGCACCACCTACCTTGCTAGCAGGGCAAATGACATATACAGTAGTTGCCCTGTTGACTTAAATTTATATTCCATTTCAGGACTAAAAATATACAACACTAAGAATGACAAATTTATAGAAAGGTGGTCAACTATTGAATAGTAAGGCCACACATTTCTCTCTCTCTCTACACTTTAATTAATTTGTTTATTAAGCTATGATGATGGAGCATATAGTTTATGAGGAACAAATTAGCTCAAATTACCTCCATGTTTGTTACTCTTACCATTTTTCATTCTATATATTACATATCTATCCATCTATCTATCTAGCCATCCTCTTTGCAAACTTCATATTTTATGCAGGAAGTGTAATTAAGAAACATGTGCATTCTCCTCTCTTGAATTTTATCAGCCTTATAATAACTATTATTCTTTGGGCCTGCACAGGTACCATGAAATATTCCAAATGTGTATAGGTATAAAATGCTGTTTGGTGTGCTGTGTGTTCAAAGTCCTTGGCATGTGGCCACTATTGTCTCTTTCTATTCATTCATAAAAGTGACAGAGAGGGAATGCTCTGTTATGTTGTGTTTGATTGGTAACCCAAGGAAACAATCAGAAGAGCCCCTCTGAACTAAGAATCATTGTCTCTTCTAAGCAGAATGACAGAAAACCTATTGCTGGATTTCTGCTGCCAAGATCGCTCAACATTCGTCAGACTCCTTTTTTTTCTTTTTTCTTTCTTTAAAAAGAAAAAGCAAAGCCTGCAGTCCTTAACAGCTACAGGCGAAGCCTTTCAGTTACAAGGTGTTTTATAATCCTCTTGGTACCATAAGTAATGAATTGCAAGCCCTCTTTAGATTCTCTTGTACTTGGAGCTTTTTATATTGTTGTTCCGTTCCCCTTCCTCCACCTCTCAAGGCTCCTATAATATCACTGCCCTATAATGACAGACGTGTTGGGCAGGGCGGTTGTGAGCCCCTCAGTGGCTGATGCTATGGAAGAAACTGAATAGCTCTGATGCCTCTCCAAGTCTTTTCCAAGCACTCCCTTGGTTTAGGTCGTGGTGTCATGTAGGTAAATTGAGTCCAGAAGTTGTGGATCCTCAAGTGGAATTTTTACATCCATCCCTCGCAGCTGTGGAGAGTTTAGACTAATCACAATTCTCCCTGGTATACCATCATCTCTGTAATTTGAAAAAGGATCAGGAGGAGCCTGAAGGCTTGCAGGGGGGGGGGGAAGAGGACATCTTAAAGAAACCTTTTGTCTCAAAATACATCACATGTGGAAAGGGAGCACTTGTTCCTTCAGTGCGAGGGGCTTAAGGAATGCACAAGTCAAATACGTTGTTGGCAGCCTTTCAGGTGTCCCTCAGAAATGCAGCGGCACACATCTCCAATACAAAATAGCACCTTCTCCCTTTTGGCTCAGTTCCCGACCATCTTTAGCAAGTGCCCATGTACATGGACAGCAATATCAGAACGGATAGGGATAGAGTATGCTCTCAGACTGTTTTCAGGGGAATTCAATCCCATGCTGGCAAATTCAGCTTGCACAACTTAAGCTGATTTGGAGCTCTTGCGTAACAAAGCCGTTTCTTCCCCGTAAGATAAGACTTTCTGCTGTAAGCAAAGTGATGGGGAAAGTGTGGAGGATGGAGGATGAGCCATATTGGTGATGAATACGCCACTCACACAGTTTTGACCAATTTTCAGTTGCTTGATGTCTGAGCTTCAAAGACAAAGCAGCACCTCCCCATCTTCCCTGCACACTTTTGGAAATGGAAGTGTATATATATATTTATTATGCTGTGTCCTTGCTCATTTCACTCACCAGCCTTGCCTACCATCACCTGCTTGCCAAAACCTCTCCCGCCTCAGACCACCCCATTTGGATCTCACCCCCTCCTCAATTCCTTTGTTTGTTGAGACCAGGGCTGCCCTGGCCATGAGGCAGGCTGAGGCAGCCACTTCAGGCAGCAGAACCCCAAGAGGTGGTGCCCCCACAGGTCCCCTGCTTTCCTTGCAACTTCCATTGCTGGTGGGGAAGTGGTGGCTTTCAGTGAAATCTAATTGGAACCTGCTGCTGCTGCTTCATAGGCACTCAGTGCTTTTTTTCTGGGAGGACACATACCCCTAAACATTTTGTGAATCTAACGGGAGAAGAAACTAAAACTTTTAAATATTTTAGTTTCTTCTTTAGCACGGTGAATCGTTAGTTCTGTTGAATAGTGTGGTGAACCATCAGTTCTGTTGCTACCCCTGATGGTGGCCTCATTTCCTGTCACAGTGTTTCCTGAGTCTCAGACAGAAGCGGGCGTTTAATGTGTGAAGTAGGAGTTGGACTCTAGCATGGTGATTGGTCAGTTTCGTTGTTACCACCTCTGATGGCAGCTTCATTTCTTTTTCCAGTGTTTCCTGAGTCTCAGACGGAAGCATGTTCTTTGTACTTTTGTCCATTTATTGTATTTATTTTTCCCGATTTGAACTATAAAATGGTGATTTTCTTGAGTAAAAATGAAAGTACCCTTAAACATTTTTTTTAAGAAAAAAAATCACTGGAGGCACTGTTGTGTGACTCAGGTGGGGATTCAGGCTTTGGTGGTGGGGATTCTATGGCAGGATAGCAGCACCTTCCTGGTTAGGGCCACACCACACATCACAAGCCCCACACACGCTTGGCTGTGACAGAAGAGTGAGTGCAATAAGGACAGACAGCAGAGAAGTGGAATGGAATGGTGGGCGGAGTTAAAGTTGAATGACAGGTAGAGAGCGTCGGTTGGAAAATGACTGTTGAAAGGAGAGAGATTCGGCTGTGAGAGTCTGAGGGAAAGGGGGAACGAGATGAGAGGCATAATTGAAGTATACGTAACAGAGTTAGGACAGCTGTTCTTAAAGGTAGAATAGGCAGTAGCATGTATTTTTAGTCTGGACTTAGAGGAGTAGCTGAGGAACTGACTTTAGTGAGAACTTGGGGACAGGAGCTTGTAGGTTTGCCCAGGAAACGTCACAATTTGTTGGCAGCCTGGTGGGATCCAAAGCCATGAGATATTGCTATACTATACAGGAGTTAAAACTGTGAGAGTGGGATCAAAATTTAGTAGCAGAGTATGATCCTAATATATAGGAGCTAAATATGTGAGAGCAGATTCACAAATTGGCCTCAGTGGTGTGGGATTTGAAGTTATGGTTTATTAATATATGGTTTCTTAATGGTTTGTGTATCTGAGAGGAGAATTTGTAAGATTTGAATGTGTGAGATACATGTTAGTGGGATTTTTGAAACAACGGAACAAAATCAGTGAGTCACCTTGAAATGCTTCAAAATTTGATTGCAGAACAAGCGCCACAACTTTGTTTGGGTCTGAGGAGAGAAATTAAAGAATGCTGTGTAACAAAGCACCCAGGTCAAAAGAGGCTTGTAAGGATGCAGTTATGGATCTTGACTCAATAGACTACTGGAGGATAAAGGAGGTGCTGGAGATGACACGTCTGGAAGTGGAACAGAAGAAGAAAACGAAAGAGAATCAGAAAGAATTGGAATTAATGATGAAGGACAATAAAAGAAACCAGAGAGATATGGAGCATCAGAAACAGATAGAATGGGAGCAGACGAAGAAGTATGAATTAGCGATGTTTAGAAGGGAAATAAAGGAGAATGAGGTTGCCAAAGAATATGAGGAGGTAGGATCTGTGAAGAGAGTGTCCCAAGCAGGCCTTGCATTGAATGTTCCAAAGGTAGAGCAGTTTATCTTGGAGAAACGAAGATTGCCTGAGAGCCAATTTATGCCAGAAGTGGGAGATGCCACTAGTAGTCCAAAGAGACCAGTTGAGGCCTGCATTTTGCCCACTGGCGGAGGGGATGAGCCTGTCTTCTTGGAATTGGCTGATAAGGCCAAGATGCCCAAAGTCATAGGGGGGAAGCCAGCTCAAGAGTCGGAGCGCATTCAAGAAGATGTAGAACGTCTGAAAGAAGAGCTCACAGTAGCCAATGCTGCAAAGGCAGAGCTACAGTTAAAGCTGGATGAGCTACAGAGATCAATAAAGTATTCTGAGCAAAAATGGGAGGACGAAAAAGAATTCTTGCATAATCAGAACATTCGGTTGGCTACAGAACTGAAGGCAAAAACAGATGAACTTCTGGTTCTTGCTTGGGAAAAAAGAAGTGAAATTGTGGGTCTTCAGTATGACCTGCAGAACAAGAGAGAAGAAGTGTCTTGCATGGAAAAGGAAGTCAGTGAACTAAAAAAATCAAATGAAAATCTACGGAAACAGGTGGCAGATCTTTTAGTAGAAGTGAAGGAGGCAAAAGTACAGCAGCGAGCTAGTATGGAAGAGAGATCCCACAATGAACGAAACACCCATATTGAGTTGTCTAATTCATACAAGTTTTGCTGATGAATGGGAGACAAAATGCAAAGCATTCTGCCAAGATATACAGGAGCTGTGCAAATATCTGAAAGGCGCAAGTGAAGCTAACAAAGAAATACAGGATCATTTGGTTGAGATGCAACAATACATGGGGGGAAATAAAGGAAAAGATGCATTAGCTGGAGGAATAATGGGACAATGTGAATGATCTTGTTTCAGTCACCAAATGCAGAGTGATCCTCTTTCGAGAGGCTGTGTTTGTTCCATCCCTCCAAGACTCTGCAGGCATTTTTGAATCAGAGATTATGGATAGTAATCTTGCTGTGGTGAAGCAGAAAGGGAATAAATGAAAGGCCAGCAAAAGAGACTGTGAAATTATTCTTTATAGTTGTGGGAAAGAACTGTGTGTTATTTAAGTCTATAACTTGACAAGATGCTGGAAACAGATAATCCAGTCAAAGGAATGTGGGTGCAAGCTAGGGTATCCTGGGTATCTAAATGAATATGTAAGTGGCATTTCACCAAGGCAAGCGACTGTCAGCCTTGCTGGAACTTTGAACAATGGCTATGTGAATCCTAGAAGGGGCTGCCTTTTTTTTTTTGGAAAATTGCTCCCTGTGAATCTGGATTAAATGTGGACCTTGTTCCTGGGCAAGTGACTCCCCCTCCTAGTTTGAACTGTCAGTCCTTTTGCTATTAAGGCTCTCTGTGGGGTCCAATAAGCAATTTGATGATGATATTATTATTCATTTTTGATACAATTGTCTCAAGGTGATGTACAACAAACACAGCAAAAACAGTTTAGAAACAGCACAAAAACAGCGTATACATCTAAAAGAAAACCAAAACCCTACAAAATAAGATATCCATGGCAAAGATCCATTTATCCAGCTGAGGAAGCCTTTCAGAACTAAATTTGTTTCTGGATAGTGCAGATGGTTGGTGCCTTTTGTATCTTGTCAGCAATGCTATTCCACAGATGTGTCCTAATTTCCCATACCTACACGGCGCAGATAAGAAGCATGCAAATAATTCTTTAACTTTACAGATGGACAGCTGAGGCTGACTGACCCAAAGACACCAAATGAGTTCATAATGGAGCAAGCATTGTCCTAGGCATAAATCTAATACATTCTCCAATGGACCAAACTGGCTAAGCACTTTCAAACGTTGTCCCTATATACACAGCTTGACTGAGGAAATCTGTACAGTGTATGCTGAATGCACTGTATTTGAACTGACAACACAAAAGGTTAAAAAATATTGCCACCCGTTGCCAGTCTCTTAAGCCATCCAATATGCCTGTATATTAAAAGATCTGGAATATCTCCCCTATGAATTTAGTTCGCCTAGGAATAACATATTTTTAAGTGGTTACAGCCACACAGGAAAAATTATTTTTGGATAAGTAGGTCAGCTCTGTAACAGCACAGGTGTTTCTGCATGTACAAGACACAGCAGGAAAATGTTTTTAAATAAATAAATGTTGCAATGCAAATTAAAAAAAAGGGGGGAGGAGGAGAGAAAACACCCTCTGAACCCAAAAGCAACCCCTACTCATGAGCCAGTATCCTTTTTAATGAATTTGGCACAGTTTCAAAATTTCCACTCATAACCATGCCTGTTTGATCTCTATGAGGTATAGCAAACAATTGTAAAAGAGTTTCTGGCAGAAAAAAAGCACCATTGGCTTATGCTGGTGTGTATCAAAAAGTTCCCACTTCCAAATCAGCAATAATTAAGTGCACCATCAAAAAATAAAAAATAAATATGCCACACCTGCTTTCTCTGGCATGCTGTTTCAGATCCTGTAGGCTCAGCAAGCAGCATTTCATTTCTAATGAAAGAGAAGTGTCAGGACCGTAGATAACCTGAAGAAACACAAGCCTGCCGACCTAGGAGTCCAGAAGGCAAAAAAAGGTAAAGGTACCCCTGACTGTTAGGTCTAGTTGCGGATGACTGGAGTTGCGCGCTCATCTCGCTCTATAGGCCGAGGGAGCCAACGTTTGTCCGCAGGCAGTTTTTCTGGGTCATGTGGCCAGCATGAGTAAGCCGCTTCTGGCGAACCAGAAGTCCTGTGAGATGTGAGAGAAGTAGCTTGGGGATTGCTCTCTTGCCACTGGTTGTGCTTGGATATTGAGGATCTCACAAGTATGAGGTCTGAAGCTGCTTTTAACCACTCCTGGGAGGGAGGTGAACCTGGCTCCTCCAAACATTTGGGGTGGGGGGAGAGACTGCAGTTTGCTAGTAGAGCACATACAAATGATTCCAGGGTCAGGCCTCGACACCTGCAATTAAAGGACCTGGAATCTCCTTCCTTGGAGAGCCAGTGTGGTGTAGTGGTTAAGAGCAGTGGACTCGTAATCTGGTGAACCGGGTTCGCTTCCCTGCTCCTCCACATGCAGCTGCTGGGTGACCTTGGGCTAGTCACACTTCTCTGAAGTCTCTCAGCCCCACTCACCTCAAGGAGTGTTTGTTGTGGGGGAGGAAGGGAAAGGAGATTGTTAGCCACTTTGAGACTCCTTCGGGTAGTGATAAAGCGGGATATCAAATCCAAACTCCTCTTCTTGGAGAGCTTGGATGGCCATCTGTTATGGATGATTTTGTTGAGATCCCTGCATTGCTGGGGGTTGGACTAGATGATCCTCAGGGTCCTATTCAAGTCTGCAATTCTACAATTCTATGAAACGCTTAAGCGACAGAGCTCCAATTTGGGATGTAGTTCACGGCTGGCAAGACAGCATTCCTGCACAGGCACCAATTTTGTCTATTTCAAGAAGAAAAATTGTGTGATTTCCCAAAGTGCTGGGATAAGAAAAACTATGAGATTAAGATTGTTGCGAAATATTACGTTTCTTGCGGTGAGAAGAGCGTCGCTAAAAAGCACAAGCAACTCCAAAGATTTTGTTCAGACTTTAGAATATCTCCACCAGCAGGGGGCACTGCAGTGTAACATTTAAGGAGCAAGACACAAGTGGAATTACATTGGAAGCAATCATTTCAGTACAAACAGGTTCAACCTTTAGTAACTGTCTCTGGAAAATGCCCAAATTATCACCTGCAAGTTGAAAAGCAAGAGGTACTTTTATTGATATGATTAGTTGGCCAATATAGGTAGAGAATGAAAGGGAGAAAGAATAAAATCCATGTTTTTGTTTTTTAATCTTGCAGGTGACGCACAACTTCTGATCTCACCCCTTTAGGGTAATTACATAGAACATGAAGGCATAATTTTAAGAGCAATAAGGGGCTGCAGTAATTAGAAAACATGCAAAGATCGCTAAGTCATTATGGCGTGCAAGGCACTGACAAATTTAGCGGTTAATGGCACACACGCATAGATTATTCTGAATCATTGGTATCCTTTGAGGCTTTGCCCAGGATCTCTTAGGGAGTGTGCTCATAAAGTAATGTCTACAGCACCCTTCACTATGGGGATACACCAGTGGTGCTAGGTAACAATCTTCCTAACAGCTTTGAAATTGGCCAATTATTTGTGGAAATAACTTCTATTTCTGGGTGAAGCTTCTCAGATTTTGGTGCATTGGCAGCAGGATACTGAGCAGAATCTGAGCATGGTCATATTTAATGTGCATATATATATATATATCCATTCTAAAGGAAATTAGTCCTGAGTGCTCACTGGAAGGACAGATCCTGAAGCTGAGGCTCCAATACTTTGGCCACCTCATGAAAAGAGAAGACTCCCTGGAAAAGACCCTGATGTTGGGAAAGATGGAGGGCACAAGGAGAAGGGGATGACAGAGGACGAGATGGTTGGACAGTGTTCTTGAAGCTACTAACATGAGTTTGACCAAACTGTGGGAGGCAGTGGAAGACCGGAGTGCCTGGCGTGCTCTGGTCCATGGGGTCACGAAGAGTCGGACACAACTAAACAGCTAAACAAAACATATATATGTGTGTGTGTGTGTGTGTGTGTGTGTGTGTGTGTGTGTGTATGAACAGAATGAACTCAGAGCAGACAGTTCTGAGTGAGGTGGACAAATAGATTGCCCTGACATAAGGCAGTTTCCTATGGAAAACAGATCTAACACAGAAGGGAGAGTCTAACAGATAAAAGTGGTGCATAGCGTCACATGGGATGATGATGGTTTAAAAGTATGACACAATTCATTATGAACAGTTCTCTTTGTAAACAAAGGATTACAGAGGTTGGACATCATGGATGCTTTAGCTGAGATTCCTGCATCGCAGGGGGTTGAACTAAATGACCCTTGTGGTCCCTTCCAGCTCTACAATTCTGTGATTCTATGAAAGGAAGCTTCATTCTACCACATCAAACTATTTCTCTGTCTCTAGCCTAGCATTGCCAATCTCACTGGAAGTGGCTCTCCAGGTGCTTGACAGGACAGAGTTCTTTGCCACCACCTTCTGCACGACACCTTTGACAAGAATTGCCTGGGATCAAACATCTGCATGCAAAGCTTGTCCCTTTCCAGTGTGATGTCAGCCGAAGGGACAACTTGCCTGCTCTGCCTGCCGAGAGGTACATGAGTGGCTTCTGCTCTGGGAACATACATAGATCTTCACACGACTTCCCTCTTGCACGAGATGCAGGAGTTCCCCTTTACTCTAGAAATGTGGCTCTCCAGGTGCCACCCGACTCTCCAGGTGCCACCCGACTCTCCCATCAGCTCTAGCCAGCATTGTTTGTAGGCAAGGATTACGGGAATTGTGGTCCAGCAGCATCTTGATGGTTTCAGGTTTCCCAACAGTGGTATAGTTTGTGTGAAACCATTCATAGTAGACCACATTTTTATTCTTTGCAGTTGTATGTTTTGCAGTACGAGAGAGAGAGAGAGAGAGAGAGAGAAGAGAGAAGAAGAAGAAGAAGAAGAAGAAGAAGAAGAAGAAGAAGAAGACATGGTGCAATCAAGTCTGTAAGTAGGTTAATGAGATGTAGTGGGAAAGCAAAGGGATGTATGCACAGAACTGCCCCCCTCTGCTAAAGCGTATGGGAAAACGCTTGTGGGTGGAAGATTTGTATGAGTGATGGAAGTTCTGTGCCTGCAAGGAATTATTGGATTGAGCTGATTGTGTGCGATATATATATATCCCAAATTGATGCAGAATGCCAGTGCAAGCACAGTCATGGAAAAAAAAAAAGAAAACAGAATGTATACATGTGAGGAAATAAATAAATCTTTACTTATGGGTACAGTTTCACAAGCCACACCTGTGTTTGAAGATGCATGCAGCTATAATTAATGAATTTACTTCCAAGAGAAAACTGTGAGAGAAGACAGCTGTGAACCTTGCCTTTAAAAATGCAAGAAGAGGCCTGAAGTTGATAGAGAGGAAATATTGGGCTTATTTGATTAAGCTCTGAATTTAATCAAACAGGCATTTTGTTTTGCGGGGTGATTTCTTTTTTTAAAAAAATGCCATAAATTTATTTTATTTCATACACTGCTTGATTGTAGAAAAAAAACAACACCTCAAAGCAGTCAAAAAGTCTCTCATTTTCATGGCACATTTATCTGTAAATCTAGTGTGCAGCAAAGTCTCAGAATTCCCATAATAAGCAGAAGTCCTTTGAAATCTTGTTTGTTACTATAAAATTAACGTTATGGGAGCTGGTTACATTTTATGTTAGGTTAGCTCCATGAGCAACCAGCGAAACAGTATAAAGTTTATTTTCCTAAGATTTCAAATGCAGTGGTAATGGCTTCCGAAAGCACATTGGCTGGAAAGAGGAAGAAGACTGGTGATGTGGGCTTGTGGGGGAGGGGGCAAGGTATGTTTTACTTCCATCTGACATATGCCACAGCACAAGATGAATAAAATCTGCATCTTTTGGTCCTGCCTTCTGGCGTGGTCAGAGCATGGCAGCCAAAACAAGGCATCCGGGATTGGGATCAGAAGCTAGGGTGTAATGCATAAAATGGGACAGTTGCGTAGTATGTTAGTCCAACATCCTGTTTTCACAGTGACCACCCAGATGTCTGTGGGAAACGCTCAACAGGACTTGAGTGCAAGAGCACTCCTCCCTCCTGTGGTCTCTAGCAACTGTCCTTCAGAAACATGACTGTCTGTGACCGTGGAAGGAGAGCAAGAGTCAACATGGCTCAGAGTACCATTGAATTTGTCCAATCCCCTTTTTACAGCCCTCAAAGTTGTCCACCATCTGAGTGTTTGCGTGTTCAGGAAGACACAGGGCCCTGTCTTGGTCTCTGATCCATAACTGACTTCTGACTTCTGCTCAATGATTGAAACTAAGATCTTCACGTCAAATTTGACTATGGACTAACATGAACTTATCTCTACTCATAAACTCTTATCTCTAATACTGTAACAAATTGTGTTATACATATCCTTATGAGTTTGAGTTTGAAATCTCTGGTTGAGTTTGGAATCCTTGTCAGAATACATACTTTTGAATGATTAGTTTTTGTTACAATTGACTATTGATTTGCGAGTAGGGACCACTCCCACTATTGAAACTTATATTGGCCAGAGTTCTTGGTGCGGTTTTTTCTTAGCCTACTAAAGAGCCTTGCATAAATGTGTAATGCACAATGGAACTTAAAAAAATATGTATACCTTTTTTATATAAAAAAATCTATCTGGCCTCCAGAAATCCCTCAGAGATGTGCAGTTCCTGGGCCCCAGATGATAAGCATGGAAAGAACAGTGTTCAGTGCCAATATCCATTATTAGATATTACACTTCAAAGGTTCCAGTCTACAGATAGCTCATCTTAGATTAATAATGGATACTCATCTAAATTGTGAGAGGATAACTTTCAGAAACAGCAGAGATACAGAATTACTTTTGTTCTTGCAAGGAAGCCCTACTAACACGTCAGAAGGCCAGCTGCAAAAAAGGGGCACCTTTAACAGACAATTTAGAGAGTTTAAATCTAAAAAAACCCTTCTCAGTTACTTGGGTCATATCCAAACTTACTTTTTGCCCCTCTTTTGCCAGGCAGAGGTCTGCACTTTAAAGTTCCGTGTCCAAATGGATTTTTTAAAAATTTGTCCTGAGCTTTCCCTGTGAAAACCACTCTTTAAATCTTAATCAGAGCAAACGTCAGTTCATGTTTTTCACAGAATGACGTTTGCTCCAATCGAGCTTTAAAGAGTGGGCTTTTGCAAGGAAAGCTCTGGAGCAAAAAGAAAAAAGAAAAAAGAAAAAGTGCTCCAACATGCTGTTTTAAATCACTGACCACGCTTGGAAAGAGTGGAGGAAAGGTAAATTTGGATAATAAGCCCTTAATCTCTGTTTGCTGAATTTGTTTTGAGACAACAGGGAGCAGTCTTTCCCCCAGAACTATATTGTCCATTATAAACCTAAACAATTTTGGTCCTTAGCTTAAAATCTATAAACTATCATCGTTGGCTTTCCATATTGCAGCCTGTATATTTTTTCATGATTGTGTGTGTGTTTTCTTTTTTCCTGTGCATCCACAAGTAGCATCAGGTCTAAGTTCATCATTATGTCTTAACCATCTTGTTTGCTATTATGCAAATGCGATCTTCATTTACTTGAAAAAGCTCAATAAAAAATAAAGAAGTCATCTAAGCCTTTCACCGCCGCTAATTCCATAATAGCTAATTCCATTCATTAAGGAGTGTGTCCTTTTGGCAGTCCTGAATTGCATTGCATGGAAGTGCATTTCTTTGTATGATTCCAAGTTCTAAGATTACAGATCTGATTTTATTTGCAACCATGTCTCTATCATACCTTCATCAGCTCTTTGTCTCTAGTCTAAATATGCTTGATATGATCCAGTTTCGATATTGAGCATTTTATAAATGTTTTGGTTAAATCTACTCAGTGCTTTTTTCCCCTGGGGGGACATAGGGGTACGCACACCCCTAAACATTTTGTGAATCTAAGTTTGGTCTCATTGAAGGGCAATATTTCAATATGAGTAGGAAAATGAGAGTCCCCCTAAACATATTTTTTAGAAAAAAGCACTGAATATACTGCAGGAAAACTAGTGGTTAACAGGGAGTGACAAAGGGCAAAATGATTTTTTAAATATCCTACACAGTTATAAAAATCGTGATGAGCTGTGCTTATTTTCCAGAGAAAGGAGCATAGTTGCACCTGCAGTAGGGCTATGTTTCCTTTATCGCTGTGACAGAAAACATGAATCATGGATTCTTGCAGATTTTTCCTGTGTACATCATGGGCTTCCTCTTATTTATCACAATTCCTATAGGAACCAACCCTGGCCTTGAGTAATAAGTATGTTGCCATGCTCTGGGACGTGAGTTGAAAAAAGAAGTTTATTATACAAGATGACTCAACCCTGCCTGCAGCCACTGAAAGCAAAAGGGAGGGGAAATGCTGACATCTTGACCTTCGTATTATCAAGCCCAACTCCACTCCCATTTGTTTATATCTCAACTAGATCCACTGAGGTGAGGCCCTGCGCGCAAACCTGCAAACTGTAAGGGAGTGGCAGATGTAGCAACAGAAGGACTTCAGTTCACCTGTGCTGTAAAGAAAGCCGACACAGGAGTCAGGTAAGCAGCCTGGAGCAGTGGTTTGGATGGCCATTGGTTGCTTCCCAGGCCCCTGTAGGGCAGTGTGAGGAGGCACCTCTCTTTGGGGGCAGGGGGGCCAGCTCAGAGACCAGGGGTGGCAGCTGCGGCTGCCCAGAGGACTCCCGAGGAGAGGGGAGAAGAGAGGAGGCTGAAGGAACACTCCAGAAGGGAGGGTTTGAAAAGGGGTGAGGGGCTGCCAGCTCTGCAGGCAACTGGGCTTTTGAGCCCCAAAGGGAAGCCGCAGAAAGAATGTAGTTGGTCAAGCAAGCTGTGGATCCAAAAAGGTTGAAAACCTCCCGTCTAGAGTTTCATCCCTCACAGAGACTCAGGCAAATACTGTTTAGGGGCTCCAGAGCAAAGGACATACTCACACTGCAGTCAGTATGGGCACCTAAGAATGACAGAATGTGAAGAGGTGTCGAATTACAGTAAGAAAGAAAACAAGTGGCAAAGCAGAAGACAGCCAGTGGCAGGATAGAGCAAGGAGAAGTACATTGAGAAGCATGGAACAAAGGACAATAAAGTGTGTGCTAGTTTTAATAATAATAATAATAATAATAATAATAATAATAATAATAATAATTTTATTATATATACCCTTGCCCGAATTGATGCCGAAGAATTGATGCTTTTGAATTATGGTGCTGGAGGAGACTCTTGAGAGTCCCATGGACTGCAAGAAGATCAAACTGATCCATTCTTAAGGAAATCAGACCTGAGTGCTCACTGGAAGGACAGATCGTGAAGTTGAGGCTCCAATACTTTGGCCACCTCATGAGAAGAGAAGACTCCCTGGAAAAGACCCTGATGTTGGGAAAGTTGGAGGGCACAAGGAGAAGGGGACGACAGAGGATGAGATGGTTGGACAGTGTTCTCGAAGCTACAAACATGAGCCTGACCAAACTGCGGGAGGCAGTGGAAGACAGAAGTGCCTGGCGTGCTCTGGTCCATGGGGTCACGAAGAGTCGGACACGACTAAACAACTAAACAACAACAACAACAACAACAACCCTTGCCCAAATCTGGCTGGGTTTCCCCAGCCACTCTGGGCAGCTTACAGCATATATGGTTGTCAGGGGACTGCCATCGGAACAGGGGAAGGAGGCAGGGGGGCTGTTGGGATACAGAGAGCCTCCGAAACTCCTGAGGAGCAGTTCCTCTTCCAGCGGTGGGAAAAGCCACACCTCCAGTGGAGAAGAGAGGGAAGGGGCCAGCCAAGCGAGGAAAGGGCTCGAGGATGCTGCTGAGAACCCCAGCGCCTCACCTTGCCAGGCCACTTCCATCGCCCAGCTTGTGCAGAAGGGTGAAACGCAAGGAGGGGAGGAGGAGGCTTGGTGTGCTGAAGTTCTTATGTTGGGGGAGAAGCCGGAAGGGGCCACTCCCGGATTCTGCAAGTGACTAAGACGGACATGAACTTTGTAGAACTGCACTGTAAATAGTTTGCACAATAAAACCTGTAAAAGACAAGTCAGTGTCCTGCCTGGTTCCTCACAAGCAACCACCATCAGCATCTGACAATGGTCATCCACTAATGGCGGAAACAAAAGCACCATTCAGGTGAGCTGCAGTTAGGGATGGGAGAAATTTGTTTTGGGTTGCATTTACAGGTGAACCTATCTAATCCGCCCTTCCCAAAACAAAATGTGAATCAAGACACAGCCATCCTTTGAAGTTGCACGTCCTTAAATTTTGCAATTCAGTTGTCCATTCGACTAATGTGTAGAAAAATGTATATGGTGGAGTAAATTCTGCACATAAATGTGTTTATTCGTGATAATAACACAAAATGCTGGTGCCTAAAATTTATTTATTTAATAAAATTTGTACATTTGATTGTAGTAAAAACCTCAAAGGAGCTGTAACTGTGGGCTAGACATGTGTTACAACTTAGAGCCCTGCATCAGGTGTACATTCCAATTTGCACCAAAATACATATTTGGACGATTCAACAAATGTGTGGACGATCATCAAAATGGGGATGGGGAATGTGTCTATAAGCATTGGCAAAACTACTGCAGATCTCTGGTGCTGGGTTGCGGGTGAATGATGTCGGGCTTTCTTTTTTTATAGATTTTGCAGTGGTTGGAGATCACTCCAAAATACAGTACAGGCATCCCCCCACTTATGTATAATAAACTCGCACGTGACCACATATACCTGCGTTGGTGGGATGTAAATAATTCAATTCAAACCCGGAAATGGCGGGAGGGAACTGGAGAGTCCACATGGCTTGTGAGGAGACCCTCCCTAGAGCCCGAAGAGAATGTCAGTGAGGGTGAATGAAGCCCTGAAGAGACCAGAGGCGCAGTGGGGCTTTGTTTATGCTGCTCAGCCTCCCCATCTAACAGCTGACGTGTGGGGTAGCGTAGCAGCAGCAGCCTCTTTCCCTTGCTTCCTCCTGCCTCCTGCCGGCCCCAGATCTTCAATTCTAGTTGTGGATATTTTTGAATACAGTATTTTTGGTATGGATTGAAGAAAGAGCGGCAGAGAGGATGTTTAAAGGGTGTTTAGAGGGTGCTCCCCACTTAATAAATTTCACTTGTGCATGCAGGGACCCGGAACGTAACCCCTGCGTAAGTTGGGGTGGTGGTGCCTGTAGATACTTATGAAGAAGGTAGGTATACTGGTTTGGTGTGCAGAGACCTGTTAAAAATGTGAATTCTGATTTCTTATTAAAAGAGTGAAAAATATTTACAGCCACACTGTCCATTTTCCAGCACAGTATGTGTGCAGAGAGAGAGAGAGAGAGAGAGAGAGAGAGAGAGAGAGATGAAAATTAAAGAGAAGTTTAAGGAATAACACCAAAGGCACAGAGCATATGGGAATGTAGAGATTTCCATTTTCTATAGGGAGCATATAATGAAGGAAGAATGTTACTCTTACGAAAGCTGGACATCATCTGATACCACAGAACCACTTCTATCTCTTGCATTCTTTCCATGTTTAGTTTGAAAACGCCTTTCATGGGCTTTCAGTACATTCTTTGATTTTCTGCCAGTGTTTATTTTTTAAAAAATATATTGAAGAATTACTCTTGGTGTTGAGTAACTTGCAGCACAGAGCAATAGAAAAGGCTGGTTTGTGATATGGAAGCCATGCACTAATCTCCTGTTCCCTGGAATGCCCCAATACACTGCTTGGGTGTGCAACTCTCTGCACATGTCCCAAATGTGAAAGGGGAAGCAATAATGCTCTATTAAGCCCTATAGAGATTCCTCAAAATCTGGATGCTGTCCTTTCAAATGGGGAAAGATCAGAATTTATGCAGCATTCTTCCCCTGAGTGCTCAAAGCGCTTTGCGTATATCATGTCACTAATCCTTACAAAGCCTTCTAAGGTAGGGTAGTAGTATATTTTTGTCTCTCTGTTTCTGTGGATGTGCAGGATGAGATTGGGGCCCCTGGGGGGGGGTGAATGAAGTTTTGGGCGCATGTTCTTTCATTCATCTTCCTTCTACGTTTCTGCAACTTAAGTGCTTATTGGCCTTCAGCTCCAAAAGAAGGCAGAGAATAAAAGATACCCATGGAATCTGCTTTTAATGGTTCCAAGGCTTTGCCGAATGAGAAAGAATTTGGCTGAAATGAGAAAGACTGGCCAAATTTCTAGGATCAAGGACCCATAAGCGGGAGTCGAGAAAACTTTAGAAACTCATGTCACTTATGTTTTGTTTATATTCCCCTGACAGTTTTAATAATGCTGAAGATTTAGCTTTGCATTCTCAACAACTGAGTAGTATTTCTCTTTGAGCTACAGAGCAATTAGGACTTTTCACACAGTACATGCAATGTCTTTTTATGGCCTCGGGCAGAAGTTTCTGGCAGTTTTGCTGAAACCTGGGGTCCTAAAGAGAGCTGTTAGGAGCTGAACCTGCAACCTTTTGAATGCTCAACCACTGAGCTAGATGCCTTCCTCCGATCTGCCGTTTCTCATAATCCATGAGAATGGAGCTACCTTACAGGATAGTCTTTCTTGACGAGGCTCAAAAAAGGCATTGCAATCTCTGAGTTAGGTTAACCCTTTTGCTGGAGTCCTGTTTGCACTGGCCGAAGTGAACAACTTTATTTGAATGTTTGGCTAGTTATATAGCTGGATGCAAATATTTTACGGCTTGGGTAATTTATCAAATTATTTCTCAAGGGGGGTGAAATAATTTTGGGAAGAAAATAAATTTGCAAGTAAGTGGCCAATCTTCCAATTGTGAGAATATTTGCCAGCCCTCAGCTTTGATTTATCATTAATTTTTGCCAAATAATGTGCTAATGGACCAGAATTTGCGTCTCTTATTCCCTAACTTGTATCTAAAATGGCCAATTCAATTTTATTTCGTCATTTTCACTCTCGGGACCAAGATGGCCTGAACATACATACTTAGATTGGAAATCAATGTACTGTTAAACTGTAACACAGGCTCTGAGTAGTTGCTATTAAACAGAAAAATAAAAAGCATCCAGTTAATGTGTAATTAATAGTTTGGCATTCCCCCCGAGTTTAGCCCGGGACCCTTTCTGTTTCTGTTTTGTATTACTGAACTCCCTTGCCAAATATTTCCAGATCGTATAGATTTAGATAGGACATGTTCCAGAACTTGTAGCATTTTCATTTTGACTTTTATAGTATTTATTGGAATAATGAAAATAATACTTTGACAACTTACCAAATATATGGCAATATTCACACATAAATAGTTAAATGAAGTGTCCGGGCATTTTTTCCATGAGGCATATTAACCAGGGGTTAAGGTTTATAGCTACTTGGATGGATATTCTTTTCTTTTTTTTAACACTTCAGTGTTACTCATCCTCTTAACCAGCCAGTTGGATGCAATGCTAAACTAAGGATGGGGAACCTGATGTACTCCAGGTGTTTTTGAACTCAGCCTCTGGTCCACTCCAGCCAGCATGGCTAATGGTCGTGAATGGGAGCTACAGTCCAAGAACTAAAGAACTGCAGTTTCCCCATCCCTGAACTAAACAATAGTTTTATTTATTTAAGTATTTCTAAACTGCTCTTCCATACAACAACAACAACAACAACAACAACAACAACAATAATAATAATTTATGATTTGTACCCCGCCCATCTGGTTGGGTTTCCCCAGCCACTCTGGGCAGCTTCCAACAAAGATTAAAAATACATTAAAATGTCACACATTAAAAACTTCCCTAAACAGGGCTGCCTTCTGATGTCTTCTAAATGTCAGGTAGTTGTTTATCTCTTTGACATCTGATGGGAGGGCGTTCCACAGGGCAGGCACCACTACTGAGAAGGCCCTCTGCCTGGTTCCCTGTGACTTCGCTTCTTACAGTGAGGGAACCGCCAGAAGGCCCTCGGCGCTGGACCTCAGCATCCGGGCAGAACAATTGGGGTGGAGATGCTCCTTCAGGTATACAGTATATAAAGGTGGCTTACAAACATTAAAAATTTAATAAAATCAATCCATAAATCATAATCAGAAACATCAATAAAACAACAGGAACTATAAGTTGGTAAAAATAGAGAAATTCATATTGCGAAAGGCCAGTTTAAACAGTACAGCTTTCAGAAGTCTTAGAAGGGATGGCAAAGATATTCCTGCAGAATTTCTACCAGTAGGGAGTTCCACAGGGCAGGGCCTGCCAAAATATAGGCTCACAGTTGCAATTCCCGGCAGCTCTTAACAAACTGCAGTGCCCAGAGTTCTTTGAGCGAAAGAACGTGCTTTGAATGAACTTTGACGGTATAGTGTGAGCACAGCCACCACCTTTTGGGTTGAACTGGGAGTAGAATTGCCAGCCTTAAGGCAGGAACAGGAGGTGGCGACAGAAGGCAGGTCCAGGAAAACCAGGAGCTCTGAGTGCATGATGGGAGCAGCATGACATAATCATGCCATGTGGATAAAACTGTCTCTCTGGATACTTTCCTCATACCTAGGGCAAAGGAATGAAATCACTGTTAAAAACATCGGCCTCTTTGTTTAAAATCACCACTGTCCAGCACTGCTGATCAACCCTTCCAGTCTTAGGCCCCACTGAAGGAATGCCCTCTCTTCATCCTGGACTAGAATTAAGGTGGTGTTGTGACTGTCAGATATTTCCTGGTAAATGAAAGTTACATCAAAGTTGTTTGCCATAGCCTTAAACACTGCTGGGAAGACATGTGAAGCCCTTACAGTTGAGAATCCTTTTTTTTTTGGTAGATCCTGACTTCCCACCCAAATCCACAAGTCATCTTGAAAAACCCCACTGTTTTTAAGTCTCATTTCTCAAGACTCTTCAGTCAACCTATGGAAGTTGGTTAAAAGAGGAAGTGTTGGAGTCAATATCGTATCTACTTTTCAGGTACCCTAATCTCTGTCGTTATTACATTGCCATATCAAAGACGGAAGCTCGATCTGTCTGGCATAATTTGTTTGTAACAAATAGCGTTTTGAGATTGACTAGATCATATACGTTCTAAGTTTGCAGCTTGGATCCAGGTGGGGGCAGAATTGGCCGCTCCTCGATTTTAGTCATTGCTGTGCATTCATGCCATATATTTGCTAAGGAGCAATCCTTTACTGTTGAGGCAGCTTGCTGCGACTTGTAGAGTACACAATGTTTGCTAAATTTGAATGTAATCCATTTTACATTTTCATACATAGAGGCTTCCATCTGTGGAAGATCAAAAAGTCATTATTGCTGGTAAACTCACCATCTGGCCAGAGTAGGTTAGAAGAAAGATCAACTTGACCCATACCTATCACCTCATTAAGCAGTTGTTGCTCGTTTGTTACGTGGAATCCCACCACACCTTTTCCTTTAAGGAAGCTCTTCTTTCCTCGGGACGTTGTATTTTCCCAGCACTCCATCAACAATATACTCTTGGGGAAGTGAAATGTGAAATGTTTTCCCCAGCTAGTGGGGCCATTGTGATTTTTAGTGCTTCCTGGAATTTGATTACATGAAAGTCACAGGCACGTATTGGATAGTGCCTGTGATGTCACTTATGGTCAGTGACAGCTTCAGATGACACCGCTGTCTAGAATACACCTTCCCCATGACCAGTGCTATTTTGGTGCCAGAACTCACCATGAACGCCTCCCTTGTTCTCTCATAATGGTGCCCACCTAAGAGTTCTGTTGAGTTCTGACTGAAAAAAAAGCCCCATCTGTGACAAAAGGTTACAACATTTGGACCATTTAGTTTAGGGAAAAGGTGAGTGAAGGGGAACATGATAGAGGTGCGTAAAATTTTGCCTGATTTGAAGAAAGTGAATGGAGAGATATTTTTCTCCCTCTATCAAGATACTCGAATCTGAACATTGAATGCTGGAAGATTCGGGACAGACACAAAAAGAAAGTACGTCTTCACAAAGTGCATAATTTATCCCTGGAATTCACAACCACAAGACGTAGTAATGGCCAGTCATCAACAGTTCTCATAACTCTTAACAAACTACAGTTCCCAGGATTCTTTGCAGGGAAAATGTCATTTGAACGTATGCAGCCCTATGGCTCTTAGCTTCAAGAAAGACACAGGGGCTGCACAGCCATTTGTTGCTGAGGATGCTTGAGCTCTGGATTTTTTGTACTGAGCAGTGGGGGTGGACTGGATGGCCGAGGAGAAACCTTCCACCTCCACCTCAAGGCTTCTATGGTTTTTCCTTTGCTCCGTGACAGATTATAGCACCTCACAGATGGATGTGTCTATGGCCTATCGGTTGTTAGTGCTGAACTTGAAATGACATAATTCATTTAACCTTTCCACTCTTGCTGTGTTAGTGCAAAAGTAACTGTAAATCTTGTTGACTATTGCTTGTATATGTATTGGCAGCAAGTCAACTTTCAGCTTGAACAACATGGGAACAATATGCGCAGCACAGCGAAAAACCCATTAACTGTCTCTTTCTTTCCTCCCGGTGCTCATAGAACACATTTAGGTCCCAGGTGATCGGCTTTTACAAATATTAATACAGGATTAACTGGCACCAGCTCACAGTCGTGTATTTGGTTACACTCACTTTTCAGTAATATTTCATGATATTCTATAACCCAGGAAGGTAATGAGTTTTGCCAGTTGAGGCGGCAGTGGGAGATGATGGGGCAGTTTCCCCCCACTTGTCAAAGTCATGTTTTAGAAAGCCATTTAGGGATGGCACAGAATAACCTCCCCGCCCCCAACCTAATGTTTCATATGACTTGGGATACTCATTTGGAAGTATCTATTTTGCTGGCCAATACAGTGGTTTAGTACACACTTTCTATTGTTATAAACAATTAAATGGACCTAAATGCCAGGTATGTAGGCCAAATGCAAAAATATATATTGCAGCATTTGTCCACGTTGTTGTATTTTCTGTATTGACTTTTCATTTGCAAGCAGCTTCAGGAGACTATTTTGTTTCAGAACCAGGCTCAGAATACACTATTATAGACACACAAACATGGATGACATGGAAGAACAGTCTTCTATTCAAAGTAATAAGAAGTTTACTTACATTCAGTTCACAGTATGATCCTGAAGGCAGGCTTTAGCTTGTATTTACAGAAGAGAGTGTGGGTTCATCCCATATGGGGATTGAGCCCATGTGCTGCTGGCTGAGAGCTAGCAGACAGCAAAAGACATCCAGATGGAATAAAGCAGGCTTCCTCAAACTCAGCCCTCCAGATGTTTTGAGACTACAATTCCCGCCATCCCTGACCACTGGTCCTGCTAGCTAGGGATCATGGGAGTTGTAGGCCAAAAACATCTGGAGGGCCGAGGATGAGGAAGCCTGGAATAAAGCAAAGAAGAAGGGAAGATGGCTGTGTGACCAGCCCTTTTATGGGGTCTCCCAGGGTTATGCCCATCTACCTGGTCACATGCAGGGGGAGGATGCTCCAGACAGGTGTGACAGGAAGTCCTCCAGGCTGGAGTAACACCCCCCTGCATATTCACTCTGGGCAAACATGAAATGTTGTATTTGACTGCTTTCTGTGATGTCACATCCCACACAGATTGGCAGTTGAATATTACTTCAACACTGGTGACAGGTCAGCATTTTCCACCACACTGCAGGCAGACCACGCGGTACACATAACTCTCACTATTCCTAGCTAGCAGGACCAGTGATCAGGGATGATGGGAATTGTAGTCCAACGACAGCTGGAGACCCAAGTTTGAGAACACCGTTGTAAGGAGGAGAGGAGAACACAAGCACACCCCAACCAACGAGGATGAGCCACTGGATTTTTAGTTCTTTATTGGCAAAGCACTGAGTTACATCAGCTCCTAATGTGCAAGTGAATACATCAACAGTCCTTGCTAACTAGCTGTCTAGGCACCTAAGACTGCAGACTTGTGTTCCGTCTTGGACAGAACACTCCCTTCTTAAACTCCCTTGCCAGATGTGGTTGGCTCAAGCACCCATCGGCTCTTCTTCAATGGCAGTTTGAGCTGATCCTGGTGCCCCTCCTACAGTATGGAGACAATGGAGTGTGCAGGGGACTCAGGGGTTTCCAAAGCAATGACTCTCTCTGTACATGCTGCAGTCTCTCCACAATCTGAGGCTCTTCTTTAGTCTCCTCCCCTGTCTCCAGTTGCCCAGTGCCATCCTCCTTCACCACCAGCAGCTGCCTCATGAGTGGCACAGGACCCCACAAATCACCAGCCCATTCTCCTGGATCATCCTTCTCCCTACCTGTCTCCTCTGCCCACACATCCCTCCACTTTTCGGGCTCCTCGCGGTCCCTGACAACTCCTACAGTTGATGAAGGCACAAGTAGTCTCTATGGCAAGGACTACTTGGACAAGGACAACTTAGCATGATGGCCCATGCATTGGTTACTTCACAGCTGGAATCCTGCAACATGCTCTGTTTGGGTGGCCCTTGAATTCAGTTCAGAAGCTGCAGCTTCTGTGGAATGCAGCAGCTAGACTGGCAAGTATATAACACCTGTTTTAAAGGAACGGCAAATCTATCAATTTCAGATTCTTTCCATTTCTCATTTTTCCAGTCTCACGTTCAGTTCTCCACATTTGCATGTCAGCTAGAAAATCTGTTTTAGTTTGCAAAATTAGATGTTGGAAGCTGGAGACACAGAGCCTTGTCTTGCTTTGTGGTGGACCCAGAGCTGTGGCTTCTCTGAAAACAATGGGGGAAGCAAGTTCTGTTGGGGTGTTAATGCTGCGAGCCCCTCGATCCTATGCTCAGGTGGCAGATATGTGTAAATTAAGCCCTATATCTCAAAGACACCAAAGTCTCCACTGACATTTGCTCCAAAGATACTGAGCACTAGGTGAGCGCACCCGCCCCCAGAGTCTCTTGCTGCTCGGAGATTGGGGTACACACAAGAAAATTAACCATGAGTTAACTATCAGATACATTAAAGCACCCTCTTTGTCTGCCATGTAAGGCACTGCAGTGCTTTCACATCAAAAAAGGTGTTTTCAAAGCCTGTGAACACTTTGAGGACAGATGGTTCGGCACCAGTTTGAGCAGAACTGGCTGCTATGCTTTGTCCCTTTAAACCTGTCCGTGGCTGTAACCTGAGAAGCCCAGCAGTGCTGCTAGGATCAGTTATTAGTAAGTGCACAAGCTGTTACCGAGTGTGAAGCAGGCGCTTGGAGCCCAGCCAGTAATATAGTGTTGGACTTGTTCCTCCAAGTGTGCCATAGATTTATTTCCCTCAAGACGGTCCACGTGCTCTGCTGGACTTGACAGAAACTGTAATAGAAAATGACCAGCAGAATGCAAGGTATCCAATATCTCCCCAGGTTTCCCTGAGGAGAGTTTGCTGCAACTGTTGCTCTGCCAAAGACAACAGAACTGGGATTCTCAACTGTTTTCTAGCAGGGATACCTCAAGCACTTGAACGAACCTGGGAGTGTCTCTGTAGTTTTTGAACTTGTTGGGATTGTGTTGATTAGAAAGGGATGCTTAGGCATAGCCTGCCACTTGTTGCTTCAGTAGATGCAGGAAAATCACTCAGTCCTTTGTGGTGACATCCTGTAAGTGTTGCATTAGCACAAGGGGAGGTCAATTCAGTCCTCCAAACACAGCAGTCCGCAGTCTCCTGAGACAGACAGATGGCAAGAACAACAACAATGGGAGTCCTTTTTTCCTGTGGGTTCCCCCCATGACGCTGCTATAATGTTTAAAGGCCTGCAGCCACATGGACAGGGACTTTTTAGTTTAGAGGAAAGGCAAGTGAGAGGTGGCAAGTTAGGAGTTGATGGAATTATGCATGGCATGGAGAAAGTGGATGGAGAAAAGTGCTTCTTCATCTCTCAGAACACTTGAACCCATGGACCTCTAACAGAGCTGAATCTACTTCTTCACATGCTTCTATGGCATCCTCTCTCTCAGGATCTGGTGATGGGCACCGACTTGGATGGGTTTAGAAGAGGATTCAGCAAATTTGTGGATAAGACTATCAATGGCTACTCGTCACGATGGCTATGCTCTGCCTCCAGGACCAGTCCACTCATAAGGCAAGGTGAGGTGGTTGCCTCAGGTGGCAGGATTCACTGGGGCAGCAGAGCCCAATGTAGATCTTTCTTCACAGCCAGTCCACTCATGGGGGAAGGTGAGGCGGTTGCCTCAGGTGGCAGGATTCACTGGGGCAGCAGATCTTGATGTCAATCTTTCTTCCCCTCCTTGTTCCTGATGTAGATCTTCCCTCACTCCTTCTTTCCTGATGGGGAGCCAAAATGTATTGGGCCAACCCTGTCTGGGCCAGGAGTCAGCTTTGCTTGCTGAACAGCAGCCTGAGGGGATGGGGAGAGGGCAGAGTGACTCCACCTGCAGCTGATCAGCCTTCAAGGGCATGGAGGAGAAGGCTCTGATGGGAATCAGGTGGCTTCAGCCTTCTTAAACAGAGCTTCCATCAGCAGTCAGATGTTGGTAACTATGCTTGTAGTTCCTGGCCTTACCTTGCTGCTTCTTGCTTATCTTGAGCCTTGACCCCATGATCATTGGATTCCCTTACCCCTGAACCATCTGACCACGTGGATTCTTGTTTGCCCGACCCTAGGACTGAACCTGACTGTGGATGCTGACTCTGCCCCAAGGCAAGTACACCTCAGAGACTCTTCTGGTTGGCTGGCTGGCCTCCCACTCCACTGAGCTATGAACGTTGTCGCTCAGTAACAAGACTACCATGCTGTCTGCCTCTGTGGTTGGAGGCAGCAATGCCTCTGAATACCACTTGCTGGAGGAGAGAGTGGTCTTGTGTTTGGGTCCTGCTTGCTGGTTTTCCACAGGCATCTGGTTGGCCACTGTGAGAATAGGATGCTGGACTAGATGGACCACTGGCCTGATCTAGCAGGCTCTTCCTATGTTCTTATGGCTAGTTGCATTATGGATTCTTTACACAAAATTGTCACCCTGATTTTGGCTGGGTAATGCTTTAGTGGCAATAATAATAATAATAATAATAATAATAATAATAATAATAATAATAATTTATTATTTATACCCCATCCATCTGGCCGGGCGACGTTCAACAAAATATTAAAATACAGTAATGCATCAAACATTAAAAGCTTCCCTAAACAGGGCTGCCTTCAGATATCTTCTAAAAGTCTGGTAGTTGTTGTTCTCTTTGACATCTGGTGGGAGGGCATTCCACAGGGCAGGTGCCACTACTGAGAAGGCCCTTTGCCAGAAGGCCCTCAGCGCTGGACCTCAGTGTCCGGGTAGAACGGTGGGGGTGGAGACGCTCCTTCAGATATACTGGACCGAGGCCGTTTAGGCTTTAAAGGTCAGCACCAACACTTTGAATTGTGCTTGGAAACGCAAGAAGGATTTAAGTGATCACCTTTCCACATGGTTTTAACTATGAGACGCCCCTAAGCAAAGTGACTTCTGGTGTGGTCCCCTGCTAAAACCAAGCCCTGGTGGTGGCAGCAGAAAAGTGCCCCAATATAGCATTGCTCATGCACATTGTGAGAAACTTAAGTAGCAGCTCCCAGACACCTGACCCTGATCATCAAAGATCTGTTCCTTTTTTTCTTTTTAAAAAGATGCCCACTGTGGACCCTGTTTTGGAGCTGTGGCCCTGGCACCTGCCCGAGGATGCCATGCGGTGACACCAGGACTGAGATCAAGGACTGCACTAGAAGCCTCCAAGTTCTGCAACCAGAAAACCCAGATTCTGTGACTGGAATGAACGATGAAAAATGAGCAACATCTGAATGCGTTCTACCCATTTCCCTATTCATTCTCCTTCCACAAATGTGTTTGGTGGAGAGTGTGTCCCTTTGTGTGTGTCAAGATGACAGTTAAGCCATGGCAGTTAAATGAGCTTAAGCTCAGTTTAATTGGAAACACCCTTTAATACGATTGCATTAAAAACAAACAAACTCTGCAATCATTATGTGAAGGGAGCTCTGGTCAGTGGTTTCAGAACCATTCCCTGTTGGTTTGCGGAGAAGTTAATTGCAACATTTGAGCTGTGTACACAAGAGGAGGCTGGAGCTATGGATTGCTGAGCACTGCAAGGGGCTAGATGGATTCGGCAAGTGAGGGAAAGGTTAAAGACGTACACCTGCAGGCACTACAGGAGGCCATGCTGGAGAGAGACAGTCTCCATGCAGGCAAGAGGCTGGGATTTTTAAGATGTTGTCAGCATTTTTTCCTCATAAGCGGTGGTTGGTTAGCTGCAGGTTTTGGGTGAGGGAGAACAGGTGGAGAAAGAGGAGTTAAATCTGGGCAGCTAATGGAATATTTCTTAAATGGATATGGATATTCTCTGTTTCCAGCTTTGAAATATTTAAAAGGGTGTCATGAAGCAGAAGGACGGTGAAAGAAACAGTGAGGTCAAAAGACAGGAAGGTAGATCTGAACCAAAAACTTTGACTGCTTCCAGGATGCTGTTATTTGGGGAGAGGGATTCAGTGGCATACCAGCAAATTTGGGTTGCTCAACTAGCGTGGATTTGCACAATAACTTGGCATTCTCCCCCCCCCCCAATCTTTTTGCAGTAGGGAAGGTATGCACAGGAAAGTGTGGGATAACAATTGCTTGACACAACATTGTCTAACCTTCCTGCAAATGTGGTGCGAACAAAATGGTCAATGAACATGTCATCTGGATGAAGGCACCTTAAAAAAGACCACTAGAGCGGTTCACCAGTGCAAGAAATTGCCTAGGGAGCTGAAGGTTTTCAAGAGAGGAACAACAGGGATGTGTTAAAGCTTAAAATGTAAGCCAAGGTTAACCTTGCAGAGGGGCCATAATGAAACTCCATGCCTCAAGGTAGACTGCAGGTTCCCCTTTGACAAAGTACCAGCCTCTGGGGCCATGTACTTACTTGGTGGTGGCAGCACAACAATTGCCTTGGAATGACTCAACATAGAAGGGTATTGTGGTCCCAAGACTTGGGGAGGGATCATTTTAATTTCCCATGCTGTCATGCATAAGTCAGCAACAAAAACAATCACCTGAGGTCAGTGCAGTTAAATCTTTATTCAAGGAAACCATAGCCCAAGCTTAATGGGCTCAGCCACTCTCTCTAGGAGGCCTTGCCCTGATGAGGCAAATGAAACTGCCCAAGAATAGTGCATGTGGATGCCAGTCTCAACACAGAATTATCCTAGTTTAATAGACATTCACTTTCCTGAGAAACTGTGGTAATTGTAGTTCTGTGAGAGGGTTTGAGTCTTCAAGGGAATGCTCAGCAGCCCCAGCAAACTACAGTTCGCAGGATTTCAAGGGGGAAAAGGAGTTGTGGCAGTCAAATTGCTATAAAATTATGTAACCTTCTATTGCAAATATTCCTTCCAGAGTGGGTGCTTACCCCTTCCTCCTGGTGGGCAGTTGTTGCAGATCCCCATGCTCGGTCACCATCCTTGGACAGCTAGAACAGAATGCCCATGGCCAGGTGGCCATTGAGGGAATTCCCCCTGGCTGCATGGGTAGCTGGCTCAAGTTCCCACCAGCTGCTGCATCTCAAATTGGCCAATGTGTGGCCTGTTCTGGGGGGTGTGCCTCTCTGGCAGAAAGGGCATTGGCTGCATGCACGCCCAGGCAGCTGGCGAGGCATAAAAGCTGGCTGCACCTTAATATGCCTTCCAGAGCTGCAGTAGATGTCCAAGACAAGGGAGCAAGTCTCATGGAATTTAGGGACTTGAGCCTGACTGAATGCACCAAAGATTACAGTTCACATGTGTCCCCTCTCTTCCACCTCTAATGGCCAAATATTCTGTTATGGGATTGTAGCTGGTCAGGTGTCTTCTCATAAATGTAAACAATAAGAGTGGTAATATTCAGGGTCGACACATTCAAAATACACTTAACTAAATCATGACTATAAAGTCCATTGCTTTCAGTGAGTCTTCTCAGTCAGCTGTCTCTCTGAACGAGTATGGGGATGCCCCTGTAGATGGTCTTTTGGACATCCTCACTTGCTCCAAAATGGGCTAAGTCCACCTTGCTATACCAGGGAGCCCTCCTGCTCATTCTGCTGAGAGTGGCCCTGGACCTCTTCCCTAAAGTCATGCTCTGGTGGTACCTCCAGATCCATTGTTTGATTAAGAGATATGATTTTAAAAAGTTTAAAAAGCCTAGTACATTCTTGCCAAATATCAATTTTTAAGGTTCGACCTAAAGCGCTTCTTTGCTCTTGAATGTGAGTGAAACTGAATGTAACTTGCATGTCAGAGTGCAGAACAGATTCCCAAGGCAAGTGGTGGAACCCCGTTGCTTGAGACTCTTAAAAGTGGATTAGACAGCAGACTCAGAATTGCCCTGTAGGGAACAATCTCGCATTGACAGTGTGATGGAATAGATGACCTCATAGTACAGCTGTGTGTGAGAGAAAAAAAGGTCTAATATACGAGTTTTTCTTCTCCCATGAAGCTATGCAGTGATAAACCGCCAAAGAAATAAACTTAGACATATAGTGTGATCTTAGATGGTAAAGCTCGCCTTGTAAAATTCCACTGCAGACCTGTTCTATTTTCAGTCTTGCATATGTCCAGTTACATTTATTGCATTGTAGATATAATAAACAGAGATAACCTGTTCTTCATATGCTCCAGAAGAACACAAAGCATCTTCATGCTTCTGGTTACTATATTTCAGATTTTACAAGCCTATGGGATAAGATTTCTTCTCTGATCTTTGCAGTCCTGAGGTTAATCATACAATAAATCAGTGTTTCCTAGACTTTTTGGTACATGGGACACAGTCCTCCTTTGGATTGCAACTGGAGCTTCACTCTTGCACTTATTCCCAATGGTCTTCTGATTTTTCTGCTTAGGTTCTTTCCTGGGTTGAGTTCAAACAGACTTTCTAATATTTTTGTTTAGGGCCTGCTTTTGTGCAGGAGTGCAGACAGGAGGAGATGGTACCAGTGGTGGCTGGTGCCTGTTCTGACTGCTGGGGGGGGGGGAGCAGCGAGACCAGATGTGGGTGGAGCCACTCCCAATGACAGATGGAACCATTCCCTGATTGGCTGAAAGTAAGAAAGCCGACTGACTTTGGTGAACCTTTACGAACCAGCCTCCACTGGCTACCAGTATGGTGGGGCAGAGCCATGGAGCTGCTGTCCTGACTCCAGCTTACCTGAACAGGACTGCAGGGAGGTTGGGGCTGCACAGGCCCACCGCACATAGTCCCAGCCTTACAACCGCCCTGCCCCGCACCAGTCCAGGTAAGC